TGGAAAATTCGTCTAAATTGTTTTCACAATTACCCACACACGGCAACCTGAGAAAAACCGGGGTGACAGCCGGGGGAAAGCAAGCGAAGAGAGTTCAAGAGTTTTTCCACCATTTCCACCATGGTCACAATCAAATCCAATCCTCGGCAATCGCAGCTCTAACAACATGCAATAGAGCCGGGGCACAATACATAAAAATTTCAAAACTAATGATGCCGAGGAGGCGAGCCTGGAAAAAACAAGAAGACCGATCCGCGGATGGAGCTGCTTTCGTTCACAATTTATGCATGAGAAGAAAGATCTTTGGCAGAAGAAATGGTCCGCTTTTTGTGGGAGTTCTTCGGCACACTCTTTTTTTTTTCTTTTTTTTTTTTTGTTGGTTTTTATTTTTTTTCGGTTTAGCTTGGCTTTATTTTCGCTCTGAGCCGCGCGATAAAGATCGGAAAAGCCCGAAGTTTAGAAAGGCAATAGCAAGAGCAGCATCCGAGCCGAGTATCTATGTATCTGCAATACATAAATTGTATGTATCTATACGGTCTACAATGTATCTCTTATGCCATTCGAGCGCTGGTGTGTGTGTTTGTATCTATGTAATGAGCATGTAACTAAACTTCTGTGTAGCCAAAACTCCTACAACAGAGACACAAAAACAAAAACAAAAACAAAAGCGTAGACCCACTAGGAGTACGAGCTCTTCGGCTCTGTGGACTCTGCAACTCCCTCAATACCCGTTTGCCTTTGCCATTGCCTTTGCCTTTGCCATTGGCTTTGCCTCTGCCACAGACTTCGGTTCAAGTGAACTGTACTGGTACGTAGACTGGCTGCTGCTCTTCGGGGCTCTCAGTCTCAGTCTCCAGTTTTCAGCATTCAGTTTTCTGTTTTCAGTTTTTCTGGCCGTGCTCTATCTGATGATGGCCGTTAACGTTAAAGTTAAGGCCTGAAGAGCACCCGACCCGACCTGCTGCCCTGTCTTCCCCGCCAAAAGCCCCCCTCCCGTTCTCCGTTCTTCCCGATCTCCCGATTCTTCTGCCAGTGACTCGTAAACATGAGCTACGTTCTTGCCCCATTCCCCCAACCCTTTCTTTTCGGCCGGGTTTTGTCTTTTCCCCCGCCGCGACTTGACTTCATTTGTTTGGCTTTTTTGGGAGACAAAACTGGTTATTGCTCTCGCCTTTTCTTCGGCTCGGTTGCTCGCTGTGTTTGGGTTTTTTTTTCGTTTTTTTTTTTTTAGTTTTTTGGCTTTTTCGGTTAGGTGAGCGGTGGTCTCTCCAACGTTCTTCGTATGTTTCCTCTGTTTTTCGGGGCCCCAGTGGCGTACATGTATGCAAAGGGGCCCCGTTGGCCACGTTGAGGAGCGCAGAGGTCCCGGCGACCACGTCGCTGCACAAGCCACGCAGCTTCCAGCCTCCTAGGCTTCTAGCCAATAGCTACCACATACAGGGGGTATTGCCTAGAAGGGAACTTCAAAAAATAGTTCTTCTTTGGTTAGAGAACATTTTAAATTCCGTTGATTCCTTTTATTTAGATCTCATAAGATCCCCATAACAAACATTAATTATATCAATGAATAAAACATATTTTAATACCTAACAAATTGTTTTATCAATTTTACTCAGTCTACTTTTGAATAAAATGCTTGCATCTCTCGAACACAAAGTTATTATATTTTATCTTTACACCTGTTTTCAATAGCCAATAACCACTGTAGTCAGCTAGCCGAGCGATTCAAGCGGGGCACCAAACGACAACCAAATCTCGGTGGTGCAGCTTCTAAGTGGAGGCTTGGTGGGCAGCCTGCAACAACAAGTAGGAAGTGGGCGCTTGGCGAAGGCTTGGCCTGGACTTGGTCTAAAACCGAGATCGAGACTGGCCACCTCCTCCTCCTCCTCCTCCTCCAGCCTCCCTCCCCTTTATCCTCCTCATACTGCTCCTCCTCCCGTTGGGCAACTTTTTTCCGCGCAACTCCTTTGTTACATTTTGCGAGCGAGCTGGAGGTAAACGATCGTTAGAAAGGTTTTATATGAAGCCATGTCTTCAGATTTGTGCTCACGTCTATTTATTGGACTTGCAGTTGCCGCAGCCAAACTGAAAAGCTGCAGCCATAGCTGAATCTGAAGTTGGGCTGGATTTGTGTGTGCTGGACCTATGCTTTCTGCACAGAAAATATAATATATAAATGCGAAACGGAAATTACTTCGAAATTTCTTACTGAAATATTGATAGTCTTTCGTAACTATTAAGAATGCATTTTTATGAGTAACCAGGTTTATTTTAGCATTACCTAAGGAAGTTCTATGTATCAGCAAGCACTTGAAAAGTATCATTTTCTTTGGGTGTATGGTCATGTTACCACCGCCTGTCGTTTAAGATGGCTCTTGGCTTGCTGTTTGTTTTGTTTTGGCCTGCACAGTTTTTTATCCATTTTGGTGGCCTGTCCTCCATCCTCCATCCTCCAAGCTCCATCCTCCGTGCTCGAAGCTCCCGACTCCCGACTTTCAGCTCCCGACTCCCTACTTGCAACGCGCAGATCCCTGCTCCATCCTCAATAGTCCATCCAGCCTCAACTTCAATGGAAGTGGAAGTGGCATGAAATGCTGTTAACCTCGTTTGAACTTTGCCATTTGTTTGAGCCATTGGATAGGCCGATCTTTCTTCTTGGCAATGCTTTTTTCTTATTTTTACCTATAGTATTTCTTTCAGCGCTCCTCTCGCTGCTTTTGGACTGTTTAGACAGGCCGGCCAAGCAATTTAAATATATTGCAAACAAAAGGAGTGTATGTAATTTAATGTGAGTGGACGCTGGACGTCGGACGTTGGATGGGGCCTAGAAATGGGATTGGAATGGTTTGCTTTGGTTTGGTTCGGTTCGGTTCGGGCCATCATGGTATGGGGGCTGGATGATGGGGACCATGGACCGTGGCAGTTGGGCAATGGCTAAAAAACACAACTGACATTTACAATGCGAAAGATACGGGTCCGAGCACCAGCTGGAGTTTGCCCGGGTCAGGCCGTTGAGCCAATCCTCCACCGCACCTTTCCGCGGATAACCTCCTCCTCGAAAGCCCCTCCGAACACCCCTCCTCCTCAGCCCCCTTACAACACCTCTGTCAATTCGGCTCCTGCCTACACACCTCGAAATTTTCGCAATGACAAGTAGCCCAGGCGTGTGTGATTTTTTTTTTTTTCTTTAATCTACCCAAGAGCTGGTGTTGTTCCGAGCATTGGTCTTCCACTAAGGCTGGGCTTTGAACTGGGTTAGACCAACTGTGGGAAGAACAGAGCGTTTAATTGGGCCAGCGAAAGATTGGGGGAGGGAGTTACCATACACAGTAAACATTCTCCAGTAAAAAAAAACTATAATAGCATTTTAAAGCTAAATAATTATATTACCAAAATTGTTTTTTAATGGATTACATATTTTTATAAATATTTTAGACAGTTTTCTTTTGACTCTGATTTTGTAGAAACCACAAACATTATTTCCCCAGTGCACAGTGAGTATTCAAGAGCAGCCACCATAAAGACGTTCTAGCTTGTCAGATGAACCGAGATTAGTTTATGTTTTTGGGGGAAGAACGGTGGCGAACAAACGGTAGTGGATGACCTGATCCAAGACCATTAACTGTAGCCCCTTTTTAGCCCGTTTTAGCCCGCTTGCAAGTCTAACCAATTAGCACTATCTAAAGTGGAGTGGTGAGCTGGGTTTCCTCTGGGCTTTTATTATGGGAATTGGGGGACACTTAATGCCTATTTACGTATGTAGAAGATACGTACAAAGACCCGAGAGATGTACATTTTCGCCCACGCAGTGGACAATTAAACCACGTCACCGAATTTCAATTACAGGAAGCGGAAAATGAATGAAAATACGCGTATGGAAATGCAAGTTCTGCAAATTTCATTGAGAACGCAGAAAACTGTGTCACCTTGACGGTAAAAAAGAATACGATCAGAAGACAACAAAAAATAAGGTAATATAATGTATTTCTCCCAGCTACTTTGTATATAAAAAAAGAAGACGGAGAAGAAGAAGAGGGAGCAACAGCTGCGCAAGCGCTTTGCGAAGAGGGTGGGAAAGTAAGGGAGGGGAAAGCTAAGACAGACAACAACCCTTCTTAGTTTTTGGCAAAGCCATTGACACACCGAAATAAAAGGAAACAACAGAAATTCCGCATGTCTGTGTACTGGACATTACTTAATACACTGAGGAAAAATCTTTTCAATATTAAAACGAAATGATATCTTATATTATCTCCGTTGCTGTTAAGTGATATTCTTCAAACTATATACAATCATTTTTCTCTTATTAATTTTAATAGTTAATCGAAAAACCATGATTGTAAAATTATTGAAATTTCAAAAAACTGCAATCCACTTTTTTTTCTGTGCTCGCGAAAGCATTTGTTTGTCTGGAAAACCTTCCAATCCTCAAGAAACTACCCTAAGCAGAAGAAAAGGGAGCCAAAAGGTGCCACACAACTCTCTCCCTGTCTTACTCTCTCTCCGCTGTCGAAGAGTCGACGGCCGTTGTAATTATTTTAATAATTTTTTTCACTGCGTCATCATTATTTTTCTCTGCCTTTGATATATAATTCTTCTTTGTATCATTTGCACACATACAAAAGGCGGAGAGGGGGAGAGAAATTCACGCTCAGCAATAAAAGTGTGTATGTGAGCAGAGTTCAATTACCAGAGCTTAAGGGTTGTCACGTCATCGGAATTTCAGTAAGAAGGAACCAGAAAATTATAATCCTTACGCAAATAACATAAAGCCAAACGGGTAAAGGAGTTTTTCATTAAACAATTATACAAATTGAACCGTAACAAGCAAACAACTTAAGTGTCCGGGAAACGGGTGCTTAGGCAACCCTGCGATCGTGCCGAGAGAGCGGCTTTGCTCTCTCGCAGCTCAAAATGAGCCATAGCAACGCGCCGTGAGCCATATAAATAGGAGAGCGTCACTCTCTAGCATTTCGTTTCAAAAAAATCCATAAGAGCAACCACATCTGTGCGCCGCCGCGTTATAGTTTGCTCCTGCGAGAAAAAAGCGGAGACAGAACTTTAAGAAAAATGCCATAAACAAATAGTAACTAAAAAGTAAAGTATTTGACGCGTGTTTTCTGCGTGCCTTTTGTCTGCGTGTTTGTGTGCCGACTCTGTTCAATTTGCCTTTGATTACAAGCCAAGCTCACCCACACACTCGAGACTTTGCCGATAAAAAACGAGCGGATGCACGCAGCATTTACAGTTTGAGTTTAAATGTGCCGTCTAATTAGAAATGATTTAATTTCAATAGCGATTTAATAAAAACGAATTTGCAAAACGAAACGAAGCGATGCCGCGTGTGTTTTTGTATGTACATATATTTGTATATGCATGGATGTGCCTGTGTGTAATTCGCCATACTTCTTCAATTCAAAGAACAGACAGAAGAAGAACACAACAACAAGAGGGCAAGACATACTTGAAAAATAAAAGCAACAACAACTATCGCTATCAACTTGAGCCATCAGCGCAGGCTCTCTCGCTCCCCCTCTCCGTACGCCGTTCTTTCTCTCCGCTCTTTACTGTTGCTGTGCGCGTGTGTAAGCTTCACTTTAGTAGTTTATGGGTATGTATATAAGCGGGCAAAGGAAAAAAAAAAGCTATACATTGCGCTCAATTTTCCCTATATTTTTTGCGCCTGCCAATAAGCGGTTCTTTGGCGGAGTTGCCACACCGCAGCTCAGATCGTGGAATTTTTAATTGGAATTGGGAAAGATTCGTTGCGTACACTACTCACAAGTGTGTGCGTGTGTGTAGAACTGATAAGACGCAGAGAAAGCAGAAAAGAGACGCCGCTTATCAACGCCACTAAGAAAAAATTGAAATAAACGAACTAAATGGGTCGACCACATTGTCGTGTATTGTTTTTGCACTATCGCTTAATAATTGAAATTAAAGAGGAGGCGAGGGAAATGGAGAACGCAAAAATCCCATTATAATGGAATTTCATACTACTGTTTTTAGTGGGTGGGGGTCCAGTGTTTCACATTGATTTTCTTAGTATTTGTGACTAGATCCACACTCATTAATAACGGTAGTTCAATCATCAAGCACGTGTTCTCTGGGTAGTATATTTCCCTCTAAAAAGTAAAGGGACAAACAGGTGGTGTTCTTTAAACCAAAAAAAAAAAAAAAAAAAACAAAGTAATTAGTCAACGTCTCTCACGCACACAACGTCAGTCAGACAGAACGACAGAAGTAAAAGAGCACCTGTTCGAGGGCTCATAAGAGAGTAAACAGTGCAAAAGGAAGAGGAAGAGAGATAGCGGAAGAGAGACTTGATTGCAGACCCAAAATTAACATTAATGCTAATTTAGACCATTTTCGGGCAAAGAAAAGGTTCAGAAAACGATCCCCCAAATTCACAATTAATTGTAGACGACTTGGGTAGAAGTGGGAAAATTGTTAGCCTAACAACAAAGGTTAAAAGTTCATCAACTACTGCTGAGTCAGACAATTCAGTATGTACAGTTGCGGCCAAAATAATAGAGTTTTCTTGAATTTAAAACTACGAGAGTAATAAGAATCTATTACAAACTCAATGAAAATACTTTTACTTGCTTTTAGTTCAAAAAAGTTTAACGGAGGATAGTAAACTCAAACTTGTTTTTTAATAAAATCTTAATTCTTTATGGTTTTAAAAATCAAATACTATTCTCAACCCCGCAACTGTGTGTTTCTGTATTTCTATAGTTCCGCCTCCCTAACTGCTTTGACTTGTTCCTCTCTGGTTTCTACCGGAACAAATTGCTGAAATACTAAATTCCGAGAAGACACTGATGTCGCATAGTTCAGATTAATAGTTATATACACCCCCGACTTGACAAATAAACAATAATTTCCGTCGAATCATGTGGTTGGCTTGGCTGTCACTTTATGTATCGGATTTTTTCCAACTTTGCTCTTGGGTTTTGTGCCCCGATCAGCAGAAATTCAAACTGCAACGACGCCACAATTCTTAAACAATTCTCAAAGACGACGTCGTTTCTGTCGGCTTTTCGTCAGAGAAGAATCATCGGGTGAAAGATGAAGAGGGGTGCTGCTGTCCGTTGATATATATTATTGTATAAATCAGCAGAAAAAACAGCAAACAGCGGACGGGCAAACAAAAAATAATAAACCTTAATTCGAAGCTCGGAGCTTGATTCATTCATATTACCCAGGGGATTCGAAAAGGGGGCGATACGGGGAAACTGACGGGGACTGCTGACCACCCAATTGAGCTATGAAAACCGATCAAACCGATAGCAATTGTTGCCAGGCACGAGAGCAATGACATGACATGCAAAAGCGGCAGGAAAAACTAAACCCCAAACCGAAGCCGAAACCAAACGAAAACCAAACCCAATCACCAATCACAAAAATGCCACAGAAAGTCGTGCAGGGGCAATAATCATCATCCGAGAAAGGAGAAAAAAAAAGAAGCTGGGGAAGGATGCTCTTTTCTGACTCTATTTTGTCGGCGAACATGGATCTAGTGCACGGTGGTTCATGATTAAGTTCGTGACTAGATTTCATGCTCGTCTATTAAGTTGGGTCAGCACAACGAAGAGAGTTTTTCTCGGGGGAGTTTCGAAACCCCCTTCATCCAACCCCCTTCCCCCTCTCCGGCTGAGTGGCCAATTAGCAGACGCATTAATTATGGGAAAAGTATATTTGCCTGATTGACCCGTGACCCACATAGAGTGGCACACGCCCCGCAGAAATAACTCCCAAAATGAGGGCGTGTTATAAAACTAAAGAACGAGGAGAAAAAAGAGTCAATGGCCTGCTATCCCGCATGCTGTGTGCATTTACTTGGACAAAAACACAGTAGCCTTGCCGATTTGTGCGCCTTTATCTGCCAAATGGAGTAACTGCCAACGGTCGCAGAATGTGGAAAACCAAAACCAAAACCCGTGACAGCCAACGGCCCACCAATTTATGGGTTGGTGACACGCGATTAAAAATCGAATCCAAAAGGCCCGTACGACCAGGAGACAGAAGCACACAAGCAGAAACCCGGGGAACTCAAACTGCAATAGATTTCCGTGTGAAAAAGTCGCCGAGGGTTGTTGTTGTTGCTGCTGCTGCTGTTGTGGCGCCTGCGGGTAAGTAACGGCTTTTTACCCGCCTTTTGTCACATGGTGAGAAAAAAAAACAAACAAACAACATAGTTGGGACAATGTCTCCAAAGAGTTTACATGACGTATAAACTCTAAGCCTAGAATATCATAGCTCGAAATGCACTCAAATTTTTTATACCTCCTATACCTTCTATTCAAAAATTTATTACAAATAATTTTCCGACAGAAAATCAAATGAATTGCAAAGTAGTCTAAAAAACTTAATTATTAAAAAATGAAAATAATGAAAAAAATATTATTGAATGGTTAACACTTAAATATAATTGATCATAGCTCAAGATATTTATGCCAGTGCACTTTATTGCCAACGACAACAATAAAAAACTGTTGCGTGGGCGTTTGAGTGTAACTGTAACACCTGCTGCCGCCATTAACACAACATTTCTCTGCTCTCCAATTTTAATTTCAGCCCAAAGGAATGAAGCCGGAACACCTTTCAACCCTGCGAGCCATTGTTATTATTATTGCTACCTATGGCTACCATAGCTACTCCTCCTACACGATCGCACTCGCATTTGCTTCACGCTCATTTAAATGCCAACGCACCGGGGGAAAAGGAGAGCGAGGCGATCTAACAAAACATTGGCTGCTCGACTGGCTTATTTACATATTTTCTAAATGAATGTGGTGGCTACGAGTTTGCAACCCCGGCGGTGGCAAAGCCAAGAAGCGCATTCAGTTGCAACGACGGCGGCAGCTGGCTTTCCCTGCACTGGATTTCCACTTCCTCCCGGCCGAACCAGCAACATCAGCAATCAGGAACAGCAGCAGCAGCAAGCAACAGCAACAAGAAGCCGTCAAACGCCGCAACTAATTGATATAATAGTTAAAATAACAAACTAACGAGAAAGAGGTTGTCGTTGGCGAACGCGCGGCGTTGGTGAAGTGCAAAACCTTTCCAATTTGAAAATAGTTTTCCTGCTATGTGTGCTCGTTCCCACAAGTAGCAAAGCCACCAGTGGATGCAGCAGCAACATTGGCAGCAACTGCAACTGCAACATCGGTTCAGAACAAGCACAGAACAGCAAAAGCCTGCACTTTGCCAAGAGGTGATTGGGAAAAGGGGCCTGCTGCTGGAGAAGATGACAATGCAGCGATTAGAGCAATGCAGAACTTGAACTCTACAACTCCACGCCATCATCATCGTCATCCTCATCATCGCCTTCATCGGCGGCAGCTGGAAAAATGTTTGCCCCAATCCCCAAGTCGCAGTCGTCGCTGTCCCAATGCGCGGCATTTCCGTTCTGGGTAAAAAGAGGATGCAGCCAGCCGAAGCTATTGATCGATTCAATGCTGATGCGTTTTGCAAGGGGGAAAAGTTGTAATCACGTTTATTAAATCTTAATAAAATATGTTTAATGCATTTAAGTTAGACGGTGATTTCTTTGATTTTTTGGATTGGGTCGGACAGCGCTTTTTCTTTGTTCTTATAAACGAGGATTTTCGAATTTGATTTTAAATAGAGCTTATGACAAAGGCAAGAGATCTTCAAAAATAAATAAACCGTGTTTTGTATCTAAAAGTTTTTTAAATACGTTGACCGTCGTTTCAAGAGACTATAGGCAATGGCCTAACATTGCTGTTATTGGCAAAAATCATGGCCTTACAACGCCTCTGACATCGGAAAATCCTTTAATAACAGTTTAATAATTCAGTTCAGTCAATAATTTTTTTTGAAGGGATAATATTTGATTTGAGAAGTAACTGTCAATATCCCAATGTTTCGGTTTTCAAATTGTCTTTACTGTTGCTAACAGCCGCTTAGAGATGGAACACAATGCGCTTAACAGCACCAGCAACATTATTTCAAATCTATTTCGGCCAAAAACAAACAAGCTTTTGAATATTTAAGTTGTTTTCATTTTCTATTGAAAATTAACAGTATGTATTTAAAATTAACAAATCGATTACTGAAACAGCTACACAAATATCGATATACCGAGGTAAATTCGATGATTCCTGCAGCCCTATTTCCGTCCCTTCTCTTCTTCGTTTCCGGTGAGTGCGTGTGCTCCTCGTTTTTCCACTGAATTTGCCATTATATTATATTTTATATTACATTTGTAGGCAGACGATTTAAACGGCGAATCCACCATGGTGCAAGGAGTACGTAGACACAAAAGCACTGCAAAATTTACTAATCTGGGCCTTGCGCCATGCGAATTTGCGAATTTTCAAAAGCCGGTTTGGTGCCACGACATTTACTAATTTGCCCTATATCTTATCTTATTGGCAGACTCTGTACACTTATCCCGAGAACTTCCGCGCGTACAAGGCGCTCATCGCGGCCCAGTACTCCGGAGCCCAGGTGAAAGTGGCCGAGAACTTCAAGTTCGGCGAGACCAACAAGTCGGCTGAGTTCCTCAAGAAGTTCCCCAGTGGCAAGGTGCGTTTTTTTTTTGGGTGTGGTTATGTGCCATGTCATCATCTTATTTGACACCTTTTAGGTGCCCGCTTTCGAGACCGCCGAAGGCCAGTACTTGAGCGAGTCCAATGCCATTGCCTACCTGCTGGCCAACGAGCAGCTGCGCGGGCGGCAAGTGCCCCTATGTCCAGGCCCAAGTCCAACAGTGGATCTCCTTCGCCGACAACGAGATTGTGCCTGCCTCCTGTGCGTGGGTCTTCCCACTGCTGGGCATCCTGCCACAGCAGAAGAACAGCACTGCTAAGCAGGAAGCCGAGGCTGTGCTGCAGCAGCTCAACCAGAAGCTGCAGGACGCCACCTTCCTGGCCGGCGAGAGGATCACCTTGGCCGACATCGTCGTTTTCAGCAGCCTCCTCCACTTGTACGAGTACGTCCTGGAGCCCAGCGCACGCAGTGCCTTCGGAAACGTGAACCGCTGGTTCGTCACCATCCTCAACCAGAAGCAGGTCCAGGCCGTCGTCAAGGACTACAAGCTGTGCGAGAAGGCTCTGGTCTTCGACCCCAAGAAGTACGCTGAGTTCCAGGCCAAGACCGGCGCCGGCAAGCCCCAGCAGGCCCAGCAACAGAAGCAGGAGAAGAAGCCCAAGGAGAAGAAGGAGCCGGCACCCAAGAAGGCCGCCGAGCCCGCCGAGGAGTTGGATGCCGCCGATGAGGCCCTGGCCGCCGAGCCCAAGTCCAAGGACCCCTTCGATGCCCTGCCCAAGGGCACCTTCAACTTCGATGACTTCAAGCGCGTCTACTCCAACGAGGACGAGGCCAAGTCTATTCCCTACTTCTTCGAAAAGTTCGATGCCGAGAACTACTCGATCTGGATTGGCGAGTACAAATACAACGAGGAGCTGTCCAAGGTGTTCATGTCCTGCAATCTGATCACCGGCATGTTCCAGCGTCTCGACAAGATGCGCAAGGCGGCCTTTGCCTCTGTGTGCTTGTTCGGTGAGGATGGCAACAGCACCATCTCCGGAATCTGGGTGTGGCGCGGACAGGATCTTGCCTTCACCCTGTCGCCCGACTGGCAGATCGACTACGAGGTCTACGACTGGAAGAAGCTCGATGCCAAGAGCGAGGAGACCAAGAAGCTGGTCACCCAGTACTTCTCATGGACCGGTACCGATAAGGACGGTCGCAAGTTCAACCAGGGCAAAATCTTCAAATAAACAGCTCAGCTCAAAGCAGCAGCACATATTTAGACCTTCAACACAACAGCAGTAACAATAAAGTTTGAGATTTAAAATGCAGGAAGAGCACGATGCCTATTTTTTAAGTTCCAACTGATAGAATCCTAAAAGATATACAATATCTATGTCGAGCTGCCTGCCGGGTTCGGTATTGTGTACTTCGCCTTTTTGCATTTTGTAACTGGAAAATTTGTTTGTAACCGCCTAAGCAAAATACACCATGATATTGTCAACGGATCAGCCGCCTGCAGCCAGAAAATAATTTATAAACAATAAAAGGTTTTCTATTAATAACACTGTTTTTCGTGAGCAACTTTTGTCTGGTTTATTTGGGCATCTTTCTAAGTTATCAATAAATAGATATCAATCCAATTATATTGATTATTATTATAGTTTTAAACTATAAAATGATTCAAAATAATTCAATATTTTTGGGCAATTTTATTGGCTCCTTTTAACTTAATCCATCAATATCATCAATCATTGCTTACTATTACAAGGGGTTCTGACAGCGTAGAAGTATTTCGAAGAAAATTCAACCATAAAACCTGGTTTTAAAAGCAAACAGAAGCTCGGAGAGAATTTAAACAAGGAAATGCTAGTTGTGTTGTATGTCGATAAACCTCTGGAATCTACTTCTTCACCACAACTGGTCCAACGTTGTCGCCGGTGAGCTTGTTGTGCTCGCCATGGCTGCCATCGCAGTAGGGCCACTGTAATTAAGATGAGATTTGTTTAGAATTCGTTACACATAATTAAAGTTAGCACTCTTTATAAGCACGAAACCACTCACGTTCTTGGTCTTCCAGCACCGACAGAAGGCTGCCTTCTCCGCAATGTCCTCCACATCGATCATGTCCACCACCTTCGGTTCGTGTTTTCGGATTTGGTTATTGCAGCGTCCACTGTTTTTGGCCGCACAATTGGCCTTTGCCGCCGGACAAAAGGCCAGGTATCCGGTATATCCGATTCCAGCCACCACAACAGTTGGTGGGATCAGGGCCAACCAGTCCTTGACTAAAAATGCAGTTGTGGTAAGATTATAGATGTATTTTAAGGCACAAAACTAGATATTTAAAGCGACCATCCGTAACCAGCACAAGGTCGTTTGCTAAATACAGATTAGGTTATAAACGCACAAAGATATATGTATGCATATATATGTATGTGGTCAATGAAGCGTCTACGCATTTTAGGTTTATCTAGTTCCCTATCATATGCCAGATAAACTTGCTCCAATTATACATTTCTTGGCGAGCTCAAACTATGTTGCATAATCGCTGCATTTTAACTTTTACCTGAGTGCCTGGAAATGCATGCATTGCAGTTTCATTTCACTTATATATTTGGACTATATCACGCCACATTTTATTATCAACTATTCCCTTAACTTCGGGAACTAGATGCTGTGTCATTATCGTGGGTTTTTGGGCTTTTGTGGGGCGCCCTTTTGAGGGCAAATCAAATTCCATCGTACAACTTCTTGTACATTTTATAAACTTACAGGAGAGCTTAAACCAGCCGCCGAAACTGTCAGGAATCGGCAGATTTGAAAGATAGTTGGGTAAAGTGGATTTTACAATTTGTGATATGGGCTCCATTTCAAATTTTTTTTGTATTTGACTGGTTAGTTAAATAAATAGCGAGTCTGAAAACCCGTTTTTGTTGTTGCTATCGGCTAGTTGTGGCACTACATCGATTTGTGAGCGGTATCGATAACTAAATCTGGCACACTAATCTGTTGTACACATAATATGTATGTCGCCCACATGTTTCTGAAATTCGATGACAGTATTTGAATATATAAAGTAATTTTAATATTTTAATTATTTAATCGTAACAAGTTTTAATTTAAACAAAAACGTGAAGTAAGATCGTGACACGACACTCACATGGCTGATACTTGCCCATCTCTAGCGTACAGTGCCATCACCAGCTCGTTTCAGCAATTGTTTGCATTAATTGCAATAAAATGTCTGCTGGAGTACAAGAGCGCCTGCAACTTAGCCGGACTCCCCTAGACACCTGGTCGAAGCGGGAGCAGCTCATCCTGGCTTCAGCTGTATCCTGTAGCGGCGACCAGAACTGGATCACGGTGAGCCGCACGCTGAAAACGATCTGCGGCGGCAATGGCAACGGAGGTGGTCACAACAATCGACCGGCGGATTGGTTTTCCCAGAAGAACTGTGCCGTCCAGTACGGAAATCTTCTCGAAAGCGTGGAAGCCACTAAGCGAAAGAAACGCAGTAGCGAAAGCAGTGCCGGAGTATCCTCGCCGGCCACGGTGGAAACGCCAACGGAATTACTGCTTCGCCGGCTGACAGAGGAGCGCCAGGCGGAAATAAAGGCCCAGATGCGCCAGGATCAGGAGACCTACCGCCGCATTCAGCGCGAGATTGATTCCCTGCAATCGGATGCAGTAACCGAACAGGAACTGCAGGCCATGTGGCTGGAAATCGAGAAGGAGCAGGAAACACGGCGCATCGAGGAGATGAAGCTGGAGAACCGCATGCGGGAGCGGGAGCAGCGCAAGAAGGAGTTGGCGGGCAACTGGCGGAACAGCAGTCCCGCTGCAAGGCGTTCCAATCAAGCCGCGGACACTACATCTGTGGATATGGATGTGGAGGACATAAACAGCAGTGGTAATGGTGGCAAACAGCAAACGGGTCCATCCCCTTTGCTCACATCCCTGCTTAAATCCCCCACGGGCAACGCTCCTGCTAATCCAATTTCAGGAGGAGGAGCACCGGCCACAGGAACTGGCAGTGTGGCTAGAGCCACAGCACCCACCATCACTTCCCTACTGACCAGCGGTGGCAGTTCAGCCGTTTCCAATCAACCAGCCATTACCATGAAGAGCCCCACGGATGCGGCTTTTATGTCCCGACCAATAAGCGGTCCCCCAGCCACTGAAGCGTTGGCGCCAACTACGCCCACTCTCGAACGGAGTCCCTCTCAGGCGGCTCCTACCCTTTCCATGCTGTTGGAGAAGAATAAGGCTGCTGCCAAAGCCCACGAAGGTGGCAGCCTAATAAAATCCGAGGGTTCAGGAAGTCAGGAACAAACACTAGTGGATGATACTGCTTCAGCGAATACTGGAACCGCAGATTCCGATGAGGCCGATCAGTTACTTGCAGTATTTCCAAACATAGACGAAATCATCGATGACATCGACATCGACATGGCTAGCGTCATTGATGATGAGATTCTAAAGGAAGTGGATGACGTGGTGGCCTCGCCTACGAACGATAAAGCCGAAGTCATTGACTTTGAGGACAAGTTGGATGCGCTGAAGCGGGAGCAAAGCAAGAGTTCACCAGTCAGCGACAAACCGAAATCGGTGGAATTGGTGATTGGATCCAGTGATGACTCAAATGATAATATTCCCCTGGCTGATGTGGTTTCCCAGGCAAGCAAGGATCGCGGACAATCTGGAGGAGAATCAACCAGAGGCACCGAGGATGCAGAGTCTGAACCTTTGGCCAGCGAGGTGGCGGTGGAAGAGATTGGTGAGACCATTACAATTATCAGCACATCCAGTGAGGACACTGCCAATTCGCCACCCACAAAAATTGAGGAGGAAGAGTTAGCTGAATCTCTGCCAAAGAAGGAGGAATCGAAGGATGTGAAAGCCGAACAAGAAAGTAGCATGGAAAGCAAAGATGCAGCTGTAGAAACCACAGTAAAACCGGAACCTCTTGGTAATCAGGAGTCTGGAGAAGCAAAAGTCAAAGTGATCAAGGAAGAGACTGAAAAGCCTTCGTCATTGGAGGAGAAGGTGGCCACTCCTGTAACTCCTGCACCCGCACCTGTACCGCCCTCTATGCACGATACCGATGAGGAGTCGTCCTCGTTGACGGACAGCAGCAAACAGGATGAGCAACCGAAGAGTGCAAAGGCCAAGCCAGCAGTATCAAAGTTGGTTCTAGATGATTCCAAATCGGAGATAGAGCTAAGTGGAACTCCGCAACCTCCCTCGGCGCCAGCTCGTACTCCACTCCTGCGCAAACTCCCACATCGGGATCGATCGGAAAGTCCAATGGTTGACGATGATGCCACAACGGCCAGCGACCATTCCACGGCAAGATCGACCCGACGCAGATGTTCCTCCACGCCCGTAATCGACAGTGTCCCAAACTCACCGGCATCCAGTGAACACACCGATGACCGGCGGGAAACGCGAGCCGCCTCCAAGAAGCTTTTCCTGTCCATTTATGCCACCTTGCTGGAGAGCAAGCACGCAGCTCCCTTTAAGCGTCCGTTTCACGACGAGCACGCTCAGCGGCATTCGGATCTTTGCCTTCGGCCAATGGATTTCCCCACCATTAAACGGAACATCGACTCGGGACTCATTCGCAGTTTGAGCGAGCTGCACAGGGATGTTCTGCTGATGGGCCACAACATTTTGGTGGCCTACAAACCACACACAAATCAACACAAGACGGCGCGCTTATTCGTGCAGGACTGTCAGGCGATCAAGGAGTTCTCACAAATGTCGGATCCGCCGGTTGCTGGGATCCCTGTCACGCCGGTGGGCAACACGGGAAGTTCTCGAGCGGAGAAATTAGTTGGAAGCAAGGCGAGAAGCGGCTCCCGAAAGAGTCAAAGGCACCATTAGACTTAAATCACTTAATTAACTTAAAGATGGGACAAGGTTAGGTATAAATGCCCTTTTAGGATGTCACTGTGGAATATATTCCTCTCAGAGCACAATTATGAAATATTTTTTATATCTGATCCATCAACCCAAAAAAACATTTGATTTTGATACTTTATAACTTTATCACAAACTACCATCAACAATAAACATCAATCGAAGAAAATGAGATTCTGTAAGCGTCGTGATCTGGACGAGTGGCAGATGGAGCGTCTATGGGGGCAGTAGAATTTCTTCAAGCACCTCGAGAGTCGCAGGTCGCATTGGCAGAGACGGGCGGCGCAAGAATCTGGTCCACCAAATTCTCCGTGGTCCACAGCGCAGAGCGGCTTTCCTCGATAGCACTTCCACACGTAGGGCACAAAGTATTCCAGATAAGAGATGCAGTTGCTTTGGCCGTAACACTTGTCATGGAGGCGACAACAGCGATCGATTCCGTCAGCAGGGACTCCATGGCCACCGAACCCACAATAACATCCGTAGCCCTTGTAGATCAGCGGATCACAGCCCGTGGAGCACTTGATCATTGAGTACAGTCGGGTTACGTCCCTCTTTCCTCGATCTCCGTTTGGAGGGAGTTCCTTCTCCCAGTTGCTATCGTTATTGAAGCTCCACTTCATGGAGTAACCGAAGGGATCGTTTACCCTTGCTATGTAGACATTTTGTCCGTTCATCAGGTCCTCCACTTCCGCGGGTCTACCAGTTGTGGATGCTATAACACGAATGTCCGTCACTCGGCCATCGAATTGGTGGTTCTTGATGTCCAAGTGAATCTCTTCGTGTGGATATGAATTGGGTAAGCTAATCGGCGGATTAATGTCCCTGTGGATCAACTTGAAGCGTAAACATTAGGTTGCTTTTTACAAGAATGGTTATCTACATACATCTATGTACATTCATTATACATTGCATGTATACATTAATTTTACTAATGGTCTAATAAGAATTTTAAATATATTCTTATTGAGTGGCTGATTTAATCTTATAGAATCTTTAGCATATTGACCTATTTGTGAATATATTCTGTTAACTCTTACTCACTTGTGGTTCTGCTCCAGCCAGGGAACTGGAGGCTGCAGCTCCCCCGTCCAGCCCTCCAGGCCCATCAGATGCCACTCCAGTTGCGGTGCGATGACCAGACTGGTCTTCACACTCGTTTCCGGCGCAATTGTCGTGAATGAATCGATGGCCGAGGGCAACTGGGTGACATTGGGAAAGATCGGTTTCGCAAAATCGGATCGCTGCATTGTTAACAGTTCGAAATTCTCCCCACCGCCGATCGATTTTCTGGGCATTTTGAAGACAAACGAGGGATTCGCACTGCGCATGCTTGCCCCATACATTTCCGGTATTATGTGATTCACTAGCTCCGTGTCATTGGTGACGCCTCTGAAGGCGCTCCTAATGTCTTCAATCACCGTGACATTTGCCACAGCATTTGCCCGGCAATTGAGCTGCGTGGCGGCCACTACTAGCCCCATTATCCACAACATGTTCGAATCCAGGAACTGACGCTGACGCTGACGTTGATTCGTTGGACACCAGTCCACACCTCCGATCCGATGCGAACCGCTCGCCTCGACTGGCTATCGAAAATTGAAGCTGGCTTCGCTGGGGAAATGCGGTAGTTGGGTTGTTGGTAGTTGGAGTTTGTGTTGGCCGACAGCGCCAAGTACACCGGTATAAATGGCTAAAAAGCGTGTTAATAGCAAAGCAGCAGTTGAAAACGAACAGTAAGAGCAGTGAAAACAACAACAATAATAACAATGACCAGGCGGACAATTTTGGCAGATTTGGTGCAAATACACTCAACAAATTTTACACATAGAACAATTTGTTTATAGTTGTACCAATCGCAAACCTGTTAAAAGCAGCAACAGTTCAACAAAAACATGTTAAGAACAGCATAAACATTCAAACTGCCTAATATTTTAATAAATATAAAATAAGAAGCGCTGATTAATGTTTGTAATATTCTCTCTGTGTGGGCCATAAAAATATACTTATAAATCATTAAAGGTGGTAAGGGGCTGGTGGGTGGTCAAAACGGTGGCACAAATTCGAAGCCACTTGATGCGTGGTCACTTACCCAAATTCCAGTTTGAGAGTTAAGGCGAAGGTCGAGCCCTAGAAGACATGGAACCCGATGCAGTCGTAAGCAGTTCATGGTCAACTTTTAGAGGGCTTTAATTGTAACAATTTAGACTGCGTGACTTGGCTGCTTTCCCAGCTGCGAAATTGTGTGTGCAAAACAAAACTGACAATCGAGATAAAATATATCCAGCCGTGTGCATGGAGATTATATAGTCGTGCGCGTAGTTAAGCCAACTTAACAACCGCCGACTGGCAATTGCACAGCGGTAATTTATAGTGGCCGCCTACTGGTTACGTTACCCCACTCGGTGGGTTTTGGTGGTCCAGTGGCTTAGTGGTTCAGTGGCTCAGTGCGCTCGAAAGGAAAAGCAAAAGTAAACAAGTCAATTGCACTTGTAAGCACTTGGATCACATTTAGAGTTTAATTTGTACTGCTATTGTTAGTGGATTTGGGTACGCTAATCACCGGCCCACGCCGTTGCTTCTTTATGCATATTTATGAGCGCACAAAGCTAATTATCACCTTCCCATAATAGAAGTGCATAATATTTAAATTATGTTGATCAACAGCGGAGTCTAGTCTGTTACCGCGCCCTTTTTATGTCTTTTTTACATCTTTAGAAATTGTACATATATTTCTCTAGATATGATGCATATAAATATTATGTGAAAGATTGAAATTAAGAAAAATCCAAATAAGAAAGTAAAGGTTCACAAAATATGCCAAAACTTTGCTGAACACAAACTGATATCATTTAATTTTTTAAATTATTAAATAACTCAATCACTTGTAACTTATCAACAAATATTGCAACACATTTCCCGGTTTTAAGAAGGCCAATTTCATATAAACTAAAATTCAAAAAGGTATTCGATTTGCATTATTCGATTGCTGAGCTTTGCGTGACTACCGATAACGGGCCATCGCTAGCACGACAGCCATCGATTATTTCTCTTGCATCCCTAGTCGTCCGCTCCAATATCCGCGCATAATTTCACTCAGCAAACTAAATAAAATACCCCAGCTAAATCGGGACTAAACTGACCCGAATCAGCTGCACATTGGCCGCCATTAAAACTTAAAGACGAAAGTGTGATAAATGGCCAGAAACCGGGCAGCTGTGCGTTAGGAAAAAGTGAAAAGTGCTGTTAACACAGCGAGTAAAGTGTGTGCGTGTGTGAGTGCGGCAGTGCGTATGTGTGTGCGTGTCTTACGTTGCAAACAAAATTTCTTTACAATTTTTGCATTTGATCGGCGGCTGAAGCGGCGTTCTATAACTTTTACCCCGATCCGAGAAGCGCAGCATTGCCCTCAAATGTTGCTCCCCCGACATGTGAGTGTTCTAATTGGAGGCCAGAGCTCAGTGAATCTAATTAACCGACTTTAACCCATAGCCGTGCATAAATTATCGCCATAATTATAACTGTTTACCTAGTGCGATTTTTGGGGTACGATTTTGATGTACTGAAAGTTGGTCGGGTTTTACAAATCAGTCGTCCGTATTTCCCAGTGACCTTCAATCGAGCAGCAACAAAATCAATAGTAATATAGTTTACGTTGCATTCGCTACCGACCACCCACCACCCCTTTGCGTTTTTACATAATTATGGCCAAGTTCACGGGTTCATGTCTATATCTGTCCAATTGGTTTTTGATTGGCTGCAGTAGCGAGCGTGGGATTATGACATTAAATTACTTGATTGGATGACACCGCATGTGATCGGGACAAAAGGTGGACCCACCGAAAATAAATCTGGAAAAAACAGCTGACCGAGGTTGAATTAAAAAGCTTTGCGGAGCAAGCTTTGAAAGTTATTAGCTGGAGAAGATGGCACAGATATACTGATACTATATTCCCTTTTGAACTTCGGTATTTACCTGACAATGAATCACTATTTCGTTTCCCACATGTGTAGATTAGTAAATTGATTATAATCAATCGGGCCCCTTATCGTTGGAACCTGTTGTGATTGTAGTCATTGCTCACTTGCTCTTCACTTTCATATAGTAACTGCTGCAACATGTCAGTTATTAACAATGAATTTTTCTTTTCAAGGATAATGAAAGATGCACGAATATGACGTAAATGAGCGAAAAGAGGAACCAGCCAGTCTTCCACCCACACAAAACGAGACCAGCAACACAATCAGCAACAGGCAGGATCAAAAGCAAGAGGAGGATCAGCCAACACAGCAGCAAGACCTGCAGGACACACCAAGCAACTACAGCGATCCCGCTCAGGATCAGTCAAACCAGGAGCACAATCAACCAAACCAGCCCCTGCAGGATCATTCAAACCGGAAGCAGCAAGACCTCTTGCAGACTCCCATCCTTTATCCTCGGGTAGTTTTCGATCAGGAGCCTTCCAGCCAGGATATTTTACCTCAGGACATCCCAAAGGGTTCACCAGTAAAGAAGCGACAGCGTCGCGTTTATGTTGCTGACTCGTTGCGGTGCTCCAGTTTACGTTCACGTCGAGAATCAGCGACCAAGGATCCCGTTGAAGTCGTCCTAAAACAGCCGGAAGTAACTCCAGCACCAGCATCTATCCAGGCGCCTTCACCCACGCCCACAGATTCCTCCGATTGCATACCCGCAGGTAGGTAGGATCTCGAACTGAATGAGAATCGCTAGCCAAATATTACTGTTGCCAAGTTGAAGATCAGTACACACAAACAACAAATATTGTGATTAGCTTGGCTATAAAATTACATAATAACGATAAGGAAAAAGATTAAAATAATCTCTTGTATATACGTAAACAGTTTTTGCGAAACTGCTAATTATGATCATCTTTCTTGTAGACCTCTTTAAGCCGGAGTTTTGGAACCGAATTGAGGAGGCGCAGGAGCCAAAGCTCGCTGGCAAAAAGCGACGCGCTGCCGGGGGATCGAAACGGACGCGGGTCAACAAGCTTCTGAGAGAGATCGAGATCCATTCGCCGGAAACGGCGGCCGCAATTGCGGCAGCGCAGGCGGAACTCAACGCTGCAGGAAACTCGGGTCAGAGGGCCAGCCGCAAAAGGACCACCACAATGTCGCTGTACGATCGTCGGTTCCAGACGACCACCGATGAGCGTCGCGTGGCTAACGGATACGGAGGCAATGGAGCGCGATCGGGCTCCGGATCGGCATCCAACGAGATAGAGTCCCAAGAGCTGCAGAGTCATCAGTATTACGGGCCCAACGGGGGCAGCAATACCACGGGATCGGGAGCGGGCTTAAACGGCAGTGCTGCGGCCCTCAATCACGCTCCTTCGATGGGCACGCTCTGCAACATTGGCAACAGTTGCTACTTGAACTCGGTGGTATACACCCTACGCTTCGCGCCACACTTTTGCACAGTCTGCACCACTTAATTCAGGATCTGAATGTGGTGCAGCAGACCATTGTGCGGCAGCAAACGGCCAAGTCGGCGTCGTTGGGCCGCAATGTAAGTGCCGCCCAGTTGGAACATGCACGCAGCTGGAGCAGCAAGGATCTGGCCACCAGTACGGATCAGTACAGCGGCCTCAACGGCGGAGTGAATAGCGGAAGCGGTAGCAGCAGTTCCAGCAAGTCAAGTCATCAGTCGGTAACCGAAAAACTTCACGAGCTGTATAACAACCTGCACGGCAACGAGATGGCCGACTCCACGGAGCCCTACCACGCGGATACGCTGCTGCACGCCATCCAGGATGTGAATGCCACTTTCGAGGGCAACCAGCAGCAAGACGCGCACGAGTTTCTCATGTGTGTGCTCAATTGCATCCGCGAAACAAATCAATCCCTTATCAAGGCCATCGGCGAGTGTCCCGAAGTCATTGCAAATGGGTAAGTGGTGTCTACAAAATTAAAAGTTGTATTTGAACAGTGTTAAATATGTATTTTCGTTATCTTTGCAGCTACATAGCCAATCCAGATGAGGTTGAGACCGGAGAGTCCCAGGATCGCACTGATTCCACTGCCACACAGAACCTGAGTTCTGGCAATGGATCGCTATCAACTAGTCAAACAACCACGACCAAAACGTCGTTCTTCTCTCGCAAATCGAAGAGAAAAGACGAGGTCAAGTCAACTAAGTCGACGCGCGTTCAGTCGCCGCTTAAGGACAACAGTCCAACGGCGGGCGGAATTTCGGGAGCGGGCACGGCTCATGCCACCGCCAACAGCCTGTTTTACCTGAACACAGTTGATCTCAGCGGCGCCAGTAGCACCAGCGGAACTAGTGGCAGTGGCGCTGTTCCCACGAATGTTGCCTTGCCGACTTTACCAGCGCCCCAGGCCACAAAATACTCCAGCGACGATGAGGTGAATTCGGCTACAGCGTTGAAGGACAATATGCGGCTAGAGGATCGGATACGAGAGCTGAATCTGAACTTCTTCAGCTCCGACTTTGAGGGCATTGTGGTGCTAACCACGAAGTGCCTAAGCTGCGAAACGATCACACGGCAAAAGCAGGGCATGCTTGACATTTCTGTGCCAGTGCCGATCTCGGGTTACGACAATACCGATCTGCAGGACAAACCCAGCACCTATATACAGGTAAGCCAGATCAAGGTTGAAAATATTAATATTTTGCTAAAACATTACCCTTTTCAGAACTCTTGTATTACGAAGGAGTATTTTCGCGGGGAGAATAAGTACAGCTGCAACCAGTGTACCGGCTACACCGAGGCCATTCGTTCCATTTCGTACGAGGTGCTGCCACGGTTACTGGTCATCCAGCTCAATCGGTTTTCCGGCGGCATGGAGAAGGTGAGTACGTACGTGCCCACCAGCTTTACGCTGCCCTGCTTCTGCGCCACCTGCTGTGAACTGAGCGAAGGACACAAGCTGCACGTCTACAAGCTGTACAGCGTGATCACCCACGTGGGAGCCACCCTGACGGTCGGCCACTACATCGCCTACACGTGCTTCTTAGATTTGGCCAGTGACTACGTGAACTGTCCGAAGGATCGAAGGAATACGATGACGGGTTCGCAAACGATGTCTTCGCAAAGCGCGACCTCCAATGAGAACGCAGCTCCCAACAATGGAAGCAGCTCCGTGGCCAGCACTCCAGTCATTGCAGCTGCCTCGGCGTTGGCCTCCTCGGGCAATATTCTAATGAAGAAGATGAAGTTCGGCCGCAGCAAGGCCTCGAGCAGTGGCGATATGAGCAAGAACGTGAAGCAGGTTAATGGGACCAGCAGCAAGAACATCACCAATGGGATCGGAAAGATGAGCATGAACACCACCTGCCAGGGAGTAAACTGCTGTGCCATGAGGCTCTGCTGCACCCAGCAGACGAGCAGCAGCAACTCGGCCAGCTGCAGCGATTTCAGTGAGGAGTCCCTGCAAAACGGCAGCAACAGCAATCTCAGCTTTGGAGGAGCGGGGGGCACATATCCCACGGGCTACGGAAGCACGGGACGCGGTGGTGTGAGAGCCAACTACGCCCACGGAGGCACGGATCCCATTTGGTATATGTGCGACGACGACAAGATCAAGGCCATGACCCAGAGGGAGTTCGAGGAGTTGCTGTCCCCCACTCGCAAGATCACAATAACTCCGTACTTGCTCTTCTACGCACGATTTGATCTCCAGCCGCCGAAGGCGACGCCACCGAAGCCAGGAACATCCTCAACGCCTCCGCCGCCATCGTCGGCACAAAGTTCTTGGTCGAATGATAACGTGCCCAGCTGTTCGCACAAGATTTGAGGTTGTCCCAAGACCCAGAGATCCAATGGCAGGCGTGGAAAGTGAGGACGGATTGTCAAAACGTATATCGGCATACTGATCGGATTGGAGATGTCCGTAGTCTAGAATAATAAGCAAAATAAGAAGTCTGTTTGTTAAACAATGTAATCGTACTAAGCTCTATCGTTTATCTACATGCATAACTATTCATAAACTAACCAGTGGTTTGACTGAGGCCTCAATTCCAACGCCTTAAGGCACCCTTTTCCCAAACTCCGATGATTAAATAAATTTCGTTTGTTTTTTTTTAGCAGCAATCAGTTCAGCCTGTTCAATCGATGCATTTGATTTTGGCATTCTATAATTGTATTCTTATCGTTATTAAATAAAATATACTTACTTACCAAACGCGTCACATTGTAAACACGAATTTAAAACGTTGAGATTGTTTGCTTCATTGAATGTAACTGACATTTGCAAAAACGTTTTCGATATACTCGTACATAAGTTAAAAGCGAAAGCAATAAAATTAACAAACCTTTGATTCAAATTAGTGCATGGCAGAGCAAGCTGGTGTTGTAATGATAGTAATTAATATAAATAGTAATAAATAATCTCCAATATTCTCATAGGACATACGATCCAAGTTGCGACGGCAGCGGCGGTTGATTTTTTCTGTCTGAAAGGCGATGAAGATGAAATCTGTAATAATTACAGCGTCAGTTATACATATAGTAACTGGAATGGTTTATTGTAAACAATGAGCTATACCCATGCAAACACACAAATATATACGAAGTGTTGAATAGTTGTTAAACTCATGAAACACCTCAAATGTGGAATGTAATTGATTGAATCGAAAGTGGCCGACAAACACAGATCAAGCGAACAACTGAGAATTGTTATGAAATTGATTGCATAGTTTATAAAAACGTTTTCATATGACAAGCTGCAAAGGAACTTCATTCACTCACAAATCACACACGATTGTAATATTAATAAATCATTGTAATAAAATTAAAATATCTGTAATAATTGTATTAGCACACAACTTACGCAATATTTTTAGCGGATTAGCCTAGTTTCTCCATGCATTACATGACTCTAGTTTAGTTCAGTTCGATTTATTTTCCAAGAGCGCTGATATAGTGATATTAACATTTACAGAGAAAAGATTTGTGTACATTGTAATGTGTAAAGTTTACATTTAACAATTAAAAATAACATCAACACTGAGCAACAAAAGGAACCGATTCAGCAGTTCAATACGGCACATAAATTTGATTACGGATCGGCTTTGTCAAAGCGCGAACCGTTTGATTCCAATTATATTTATGTTTATTATTGATTAGCATTATAGAACATGCTTAACTAAATATACGAAATATACAACATACACATAATCAGCTGAGACTTAATCAAAACTTATATTTTTTACAGAAACTTTTCAATGGCTCGGGTAAACTGATTTTGTTTTTGCGTCATCCATTGCACGTTGATCAGGGTCATCTCTAAAGTTTGACTAATTGCCTGATCCATATCCTTGAGGTGTTCTTTGGAATTGGCAATAAAGGTTTTGAACTCATTGTAATCTTTTTCTGTATAAATCTGTTTGGCAAGCCACTGCAACATCTCGGACATAATTTCGGGTTGGGAATGGTAGCTGAAAAAAAATGTATTTTTTTTTATTTTTGTTTTTTATTTATAGGCTTTACATACACTTTTGAGATGAGTTCTACGTTGTCCATGAAATATTTCTTGGCCAACAAAAAGCCAACCTCTCTCGCGGCAATTGCCTTGAAGGCGAAAACAGAATCCTGCTTGCGAATTTCCCCATTTCCGTCGAAGATCCTTTCCAGATATCTCTGCAGAAGCCACACCTCCCACGTACAACTTAAGGAATTTAAAAAAGTGAACTTTTCGCTCGCTACATTCGACCTTTGGTATCGCGTCCAAAGGAAATCCCAGTCTTCATCGCTTCCGTGCCGAATGGCATAGCAGTAAATAGTGGCACGAGCACCCAGAGGCACTGGATTCTCCTCGTCGGGATTGGCCTCCGATCGCCAGTTGCTGAAGTACACCAACGACTGGGCCACACAATCGGATACCCGGTACAGGCATGCAATGGGAGCCACCATTATTTTTAACCGGAGCTTATCATGGTTTTGGATCGAAGTTGTATCTGTGTAGTTAATGCCATTCAGGTGTTCATAGATCGGAGTGATCAGCTTTCTTATGAAGCGCTGAAAATATAAGCTTGCAGTCGAGTGTAACTAGATTTATTATAAAACTTACCGTAAAGATGCCAAATTTTGATGTCTGTTGCAAGATGTAAGTAAAATGTTCTAGGTGGTCTAGAACCGAACTCCAGGGAAGGGACTCCCGCTCTCTCTGCAGATAAGCTAGCACTCTAAGCGCGGTTTCGTAGTCCTGCTCTCCTGTCCAGGCGAAATACAGGACATCGGTTATGAGCTGGGCCCTATTAACCACATGAATGCTTTCAAAATCATCGCTGTTCAAAGTTGCGATAAGGAGTTCCCAGTTCCGGGAATCGTAGTTAACTTTATAAGGTGATGCTATTCGGGTGTTGAAGATTATCCACTGATCGGCACCAGGTAGATCCTCAATGGTCTTGGGAAGGCTTTTACCGTCATTGCTGCACTCCATCCACGCCTTGGGAGCCGTGTTGTTGAAGTCCTTTTCCTCCTGGGTGGTGAAGCTCAGTGGGATCCACCAACACTCTTTGTGATCGGTTCTGGATAAGTTGGTATTGAGAAGGTAGCGTTCCTGGCTGAGACTTGCAGTCCTTGTCGTATAGTCACGAGTCACATTAACGATAGGATAGCTTAAAGATAAGGAGTTAAGTAAGATTTCAATTTGTTTGCCCTCCAATTTGAAACTTACCCAGTTTGCAGTATCCAAGAGTCCATGATGGTCTTGATTTCATAATTCTTTGGCAGAATATTATTTTTGTGGGCAACTTGAGTGAGTGAATCCCAAAGATCATCCCGTTCGGCGTTCTTATAAGAGTATTTTTCAAGATACGATTTAAAGCCGGATCGAAATGATTCTTCCCCGAGAAACAAGTGCATCATGCGAAGCACTAATGATCCTTTCTCGTAAGCGATTTCATCGAAGCTTTCAAAAATTTGTGAAACCAATTCAATGGGTCTCGAAATCGGATGACTGCTCTCCAGAGAGTCTTTATTGAAAAACCTAAGCTGATTAGCAAAGATTTTCGGCTCCACTGAACGCCACTCCGGATGGATGTGCTCGATACACAAATTTGACACGAAAGTAGCGAACCCCTCGTTGAGCCAAATATCATTCCACCACTTCATGGTGACCAGATTGCCAAACCACTGGTGGGCCAACTCGTGGGCCACAATATTTGTAATCCTTAATTTGTCTATCTGTGTGGAATGTTCGGGGGAGTACAATAGTGAGGTCTCCTTGTAGGTCACCAGACCCCAGTTCTCCATGGCACCTGCACTAAAATCTGGAATAGCGATTTGATCCATTTTAGGGAGAGGAAACCCAATGCCAAATAACTGCTCGTAGAACATCAGTACTTGGGGTCCGAACTCAGAGGCATAATCACACTGATCGATGGCATTGGGCCTTGCCCAGGTTCTAAAAAGGGGGCCATTGGGCAGAGAAGAGAGCTTGTGTGAGAAATCATTCACTGAATATACCACCAAGTATGTGGACATCGGCAAAGACTCCTGGAACTCTGTCCAGATATAGTCTGGAAGGGTGTCACTGCAGAGATGTTAAAAATAATTGCAGTATTATTTTTTTCAATAGCTTGGCTTACTGTGACTTAGTTTGTTTAAGGGGCATGTTGCTGAGAGCCGTGAACTTCCTGTGGTGACCCAATGTGATCACAAAGGGAGCCTTGTAAGCAGGCTCATCAAAGCAGGGAAATGCCATTCGAGCCGAAGTTGGTTGAAATTGGGTAATAGAGATCCATCTGTAAAAAGAATAAAGAGTACTAACAAAAGTCACCATTTATTAGTATAGCTCACCTCGTCTCGTTGTCCGCAGGATCCACATAGGAACTTCGGTAGTATCCCTCAAGTTGATCTTGTAACTCGGCGGAAAACGATAGACTCAGCTCATAAACATTGCCAGCCAAAAGCTCCTGACAAGTTTTGAGGATATAAAAGTTGTGATTGGGATTCACTTCTGTGGATGCTACGCAGTTGTCCTTTTTTTCTTCCCCGCTAATTTGGCGAAGAGTAGTTTGTGATTCATCGATGTCAAGAGAACTCGAGTGAAGCGTGATGTTGTTGGTATTCTGCAGAGCTTCAATTAGGATTTTAACTGTGCCGCTAAAGCGAAACTCTTCCCGATCCTCCAGATGAGTTAAGATGCTTATGAAATATTTTTGGGGTCGAAGTGCTGTTGGCAGGCGGTAGTAGTCATAGTTGGAATCGGCTGCTGCTAAGTCCTGGCAAAGGGCCGCCAATAATAACAGAATCCAATTCATGCCAAAAGCTGACGAAACAAGATTAAATGAAATAGTCCGACTGCCTTACAAGTTATTTAATCTAATTATAGCCACAAAGGTCACAAACTATTTTGCAAAATGTTCGCATCACGTTTTTACTTGAAAACACTGTTACAATACTTATCAACGGGATTCTTTTTCATTGATTTTTATTATATTTATTTACATTCATTAAAAATAGAAAGCAGCACCTAGTATTACTTACACCTCTGATCGCAACAGGGAACGAAAAACGAATGCGGCAAATTCAACGATCGAACTGAATATAAAGTTTAGAAGCAGATTTTGTTTAGAGGGGAAACCAGAGAGAGATTTGCGGATGCATAAAATATATTGAAGAGCTGATTTCCTGATAATTTAGAAGTTTCTAATAATTTAATCAGCTTAATCAACTATTAATTTTCCGGTGAATACCGGTAGTTCAAGGGTCTTGAACATAGCTAAATCATGGTACAATGGCAACCAAAATTATAACGTTGTTTTTTATTCCACATGATTTCATGATTTTTTGAACATTGACTTTTTTAACAACCCTGGAATCGAGAAAAAGTTTCATAAAATTTATATCATGTATATATGAAGATAGAAAAATCAATATAGAATTAACGAAAAACAAGAAAAGAAGCGGTATTTAAGTTGTTCTTTCGGTACTATTTTTTTTACAGGAACTTTTCAATGGCACTGTTAAACTGATTTTGTTTTTGCGTCATCCATTGCACGTTGATCAGGATCATCTCTAATGTTTGACTAATTGCCTGATCCATATCCTTGAGGTGTTCTTTGGAATTGGCAATAAAGTTTTGAAACTCATTCAAGTCTTTTCGGTTAAATGTCTGAAAGGAAAGCGTCAGCAGCATCTCGGACATCATTTCGGGTTGGCGATAGTAACTGAAAACATTTGTCGATTTGTAATTTTGTGTTCGGGAAACATAAGTTTTACTTACAATTTCGAGATGAATTCTACTTTTTCCATGAAATATTTCTTGGCCAACAAAAAGCCAACCTTTCTCGCGGCAATTGACTGGAAGGCTAAAAGAGAATCCTGCTTGCGAATTTCCCCCTTTCCGTCGAAGATCCTTTCTAGATATCTCTGCAGAAGCCACATCTCCTGCGTACAACTCAAAGCATTCAAAATAGTTTGCTTTACGGTTGCTACATTCGACCTTTGGTATCGCGTCCAAAGGAATTCCCAGTCCTCATCGCTTCCGTGCCGAATGGCAGTGCAGTAAATAGTGTCGCGAGCAGCCAGCGGCACTGGATTGTTCTCGTCGGGATTAGCCTCCGATCGCCAGTTGCTGAAGTACTCCAACGACTGGGCCACACAATCGGATACCTCGGATGGGCAGGCCCAGGCCGCCACCATTATTTTTAAATGGAACCTATCATGGTTTTGGATCGTTGTTGTATCTGTGTAGTTAATGCCATTCAGGTGTTCATAGATTGGAGTGATCAGCTTTCTTATGAAGCGCTGAAAATATATGCTTGCAACAGAACAAAATTTGTTATAAAAGTTACCTTAAAGACGCCAAATTTCGATGTCTGTTGATTGATGGTACTAACACTGTCTAGGTGATTTAGAACCGATCTCCACGGAAGGAGTTCCCGCTCCCTCTGCAGATAAGCTAGCACTCTAAGCGCGGTTTCGTAGTCCTGCTCTCCTGTCCAGGCGAAATACAGGACATCGGTTATGAGCTGGGCCCTATTAACCACATGAATGCTTTCAAAATCATCGCTGTTCAAAGTTGCGATCAGGAGTTCCCAGTTCCGGGAATCGTAGTTAACTTTATAAGGTGATGACAGTCGGGTGTTGAAGATTACCCACTGATCGGCTCCAGGTAGATCCTCAATGGTCTTGGGAAGGCTTTTACCGTCATTACTGCACTCCATCCACGCCTTGGGAGCCGTGTTGTTGAAGTCCTTTTCCTCCTGGGTGGTGAAGCTCAGTGGGATCCACCAACACTCTTTGTGATCGGTTCTGGATAAATTGGTATTGAGAAGGTAGCGTTCCTGGCTGAGACTTGCAGTCCTTGTCGTATAGTCACGAGTCACATTAACGATAGGATAGCTGAAATATGAAAAGCTCATATAGATTGCAATCCTTTTGCCCTCCAGTTTTAAACTTACCCAGTTTGCAGTATCCAAGAGTCCATGATGGCCTTGATTTCATAATCCTTTGGCAAAGCGACATTTTTGTGGGCAGCTTGAGTGAGTGAATCCCAAAGATCATCCCGTTCGGCATTCTTATAAGAGTATTTTTCAAGATACGATTTAAAGCCGGATCGAAATGATTCTTCCCCGAGAAACAAGTGCATCATGCGAAGCACTAATGATCCTTTCTCGTAAGATATCTCATCGAAGATTTCAGTAGTCTCCGAAACCAGTTCAATGGGTCTCGAAATCGGATGACTGCTCTCCAGAGAGTCTGTTTTGAAGATAGTAAGTAAATTTAAATGGGATTCCAGCTCCATTGAATGCCACTCCGGATGGATGCTCTCGATACACAAACTTGCCAAATAAGTAGCAAACCCTTCGTTGAGCCAAAGATCGTTCCACCACTTCATGGTGACCAGATTGCCGAACCATTGGTGGGCCAACTCATGGGCCACAATATTTGTAATCCTTAATTTGTCTATCTGTGTGGAATGTTCGGGGGAGTACAATAGTGAGGTCTCCGTATAGGATACCAGGCCCCAATTCTCCATGGCACCTGCACTAAAATCTGGAATAGCGATTTGATCCATTTTAGGGAGAGGAAACCCAATGCCAAATAACTGCTCGTAGAACATCAGTACTTGGGGTCCGAACTCAGAGGCATAATTACACTGATCGATGGCATTGGGCCTTGCCCAAGTTCTAAAAAGGGGGCCATTGGGCAGCGAAGAGAGCTTGTGTGAGAAATCATTTACTGAGTATACCACCAAGTATGTGGACATCGGCAAAGACTCCTGGAACTCTGTCCAGATATAGTCTGGAAGGGTGTCACTGCAGAGATGTTAAAAATAATTGCAGTATTATTTTTTTCAATAGCTTGGCTTACTGTGACTTAGTTTGTTTAACGGGCATGTTGCTGAGAGCCGTGAACTTCCTGTGGTGACCCAATGTGATCACAAAGGGAGCCTTGTAAGCAGGCTCATCAAAGCAGGGAAATGCCATTCGAGCCGAAGTTGGTTGAAATTGGGTAATAGAGATCCATCTGTAAAAAGAATAAAGAGTACTAACAAAAGTCACCATTTATTAGTATAGCTCACCTCGTCTCGTTGTCCGCAGGATCCACATAGGAACTTCGGTAGTATCCCTCAAGTTGATCTTGTAACTCGGCGGAAAACGATAGACTCAGCTCATAAACATTGCCAGCCAAAAGCTCCTGACAAGTTTTGAGGATATAAAAGTTGTGATTGGGATTCACTTCTGTGGATGCTACACAGTTATCCTTTTTTTCTTCCCCGCTAATTTGGCGAAGAGTAGTTTGTGATTCATCGATGGCAAGAGATCTCGAGTGAAGCGTAATGTTGTTGGTATTCTCCAGAGTTTCAATTAGGATTTTAACTGTGCCGCTAAAGCGAAACTCTTCCCGATCCTCCAGATGAGTTAAGATGCTTAGGTAATATTTTTGGGGTCGAAGAGCTGTCGGCAGGCGGTAGTAGTCATAGTTGGAATCGGCTGCTGCTAAAAGCAGGCCAAGTGTCAGCAACAATAAGAGATGCCAACCCATGTCTGAATCTGACGAAAAAAGATTAAATGAAATAGTACGGCTGCCTTATAAATTATTTAATCTAATTAAAGCCGCAAAGGTCACAAGAAGGTTTATCATTAGTCCTTTTTTTTCAAAATTTCCAAACCACTATTACAACACTTGTGAACAGGATTCTTTGAAACTTTCACTTTCAATGTTATTTATTTAGATTGAAAATAGAAACTAGCAACTAGTATTAGCTTATACCTCTGATCGCAACAGAGAACGAAAAACGAATGCGGCAAATTCAACGATCGAACTGAATATAAAGTTTAGAAGCACATTTTGTTTCGAGGGGGAAAACCTGAGAGAGATTAACTTAGACTCTTTATACGAACACTCAATCTGCGTATTCATAATGTTTAACGATGAGCGCTTTTGCTGATAACTTAGAAGTTTCTAATGAAATAATAAGAATTAAATAAAACTATTATTTTTTTCTAATTATTTTATTTAAAACATTTTGATATTGTTCTCACAAATACACCAAACTATTTTGCTTAGAGATTTTTTTGTAAGGCACTGGAGAAAGGCTCATAATTTCTTTCCTTCCATTGCACATTGGTGAGTATTACTTCCAATGCCCGTTGGACACCCTCCTTCGAATCCTTGAAGGATTCCCGTGAATCTTTGAAAAATTTCTTAAATTCTTCGTAGTCTTTCTGAGTGAATACCTGTAGTTCAAGGGGATCGATGAACTTAGTAAGTTGATGATGGTTGCTAAAAACAGTTAAATCAATTAGTTTATTTGCTTATATTACGTACTCCCAATAACACCGCACTTACAATTTGCTTATATAGATCACATTGTCCATAAAGTACTCTTTTGCTAGCAGGAAACCCACCTCGGTTTTGGCCACCGCCTGGAAGGCCCACCTTGAGTCCTGTTTGCGAATTTCCTCCTTGGGGTCAAAGGTCAGCTCCAGATAACGTTGCAACAGCCACACCTCCCTCGAACAACCCAATGCGGTCAAAATGGTCCTCTTTTCGGCGGCCACATTGGATTTCTTGTACCTCGTCCACAGGAACTCCCAATCCTCTTCGGATCCATGCTTAATGGAGGTGCAGTAAACCGTGTTCCTCACATTGATGGGCACCGGGTTCTTCTCATCGGGATTGGCCTCCGATCTCCAGTTGCGGTAGTATGCCAAAGCCTGGGGCACACAATCGGAAACCTGGTACTGACAGGCCCAGTTGACCACCATTGTCTTCAGAAGAACTTGATCCTGTTGCTGGATCGAACTGAATGTGTCGTTGATGCCGTTCAGGTGTTCGTAGACAGGTGTGATTATCTTTTTTACGTATTTCTAAAAGTAACGAATTAAATTATATAGCGATATCTTTAAAAATTGAAAAGCAAAGCTCACTTTAAAGAAACCGAAGTTGGGTGTCTGTCGAACAATGCGGTTCAGAAGTTTCAGATTGTCCAAGGCTGATTTCCAAGGAAGAAGTTCTCGCTCTCTCTGCAGATAGTTGACCACTCCCAATGCTATCTCGTAATCCTGCTCCCCTGTCCATGCGAAAAACAGGACGTCATCTATTAGTTGAGCTCTATTAATTACGTGAATGCTTCGGAAATCCTCGCTGTTTAAAGTTTCTGTAAGAAGTTTCCAGTTCCTTGCATCGTAGTTGACTTTATACGGTGATGACAGCTGAGTGTTGAAGATTACCCACTGATCGGGTCCAGGAAGATCCTCAATAGTCTTGGGAAGGCTTTTACCCCCGTTGCTGCACTCCATCCACGCCTTGGGAGCCGTGTTGTTGAAGTCCTTTTCCTCCTGGTTGGTGAAGCTCAGAGGGATCCACCAACACTCTTTGTGATCGGTTCTGGATAAATTGGTATTAAGAAGGTAGCGTTCTTGTCTGAGACTTGCAGTCCTAGCCGTATAGTCACGAGTCACATTAACGATAGGATAGCTGAAAGATTGAAATTTTTTTACGATAGCAAACCTCTTCATTTTTGAATATAATTACCCAGTTTGCAGAGTCCACGAGTCCATAATAGTTTTAATATCATAGTTACTTGGCAAAGCACCAGCTTTATGGGCAGCTTCAGTGAGTGACTCCCAAAGATTATCCTGTTCGGCGTTCTTATATGAGTACCTTTCAAGGTAGGACTTCAGACCAGATCGAAATGACTCGTCTCCAAGGAACAGGTGCATCATGCGCAGCACCGATGATCCTTTCTCATACGAGATCTCATCAAAGCTCTCAGTAATTTGGGAAACCATTCCAACTGGCCTCGAAATGGGATGACTGCTCTTCAGGGAATCCTTTCGAAAAATGGCGAGCAGGTTAGACAGCGACTCCAGCTTACCGGAATGCCATTCTGGATGTATGTAATCAACACCTAAGGTAGCCACATATGTGGCGAAACCCTCTTTGAGCCACAGATCAGTCCACCACTTCATGGTGACCAGGTTTCCGAACCACTGGTGGGCCAACTCATGGGCTACCGTGTCTGAAAGTTCCTGTTTGTCCTTCAATGAGGAGAATTCAGCTGAGTAAAGAAGATCAGTTTCTCGATAAGTCACCAGACCCCAGTTCTCCATGGCACCAATTTTAAAGTCTGGGAGAGCGATCTGATCCACTTTCGGAAGCGGAAACCTTATTCCGAATAGTTCTTCGTAGTACTTGAGAACCTTGGGTCCAAACTCAGCGGCATAGTCGCACTGATCGATGGCATTGGGTCTTGACCAGGTCCTGAATAGAGTGCCATTCGGCAGAGTGGAAGGCTTGTGTGAGAAATCATTCACTGAATATGCCACTAGGTAGGTGGACATTGGCAAAGATTCCTGAAATTCGGTCCATATGTAATCGGGAAGTGACTCACTGTAAAGAGGTTAGAATACTTATTCAAATTGATTTCAAATTTAGTTAGGAGGAATTTCTGCTTACTGGGACTTTGTTTCCTTCACTGGCATATTGCTGAGAGCCGTGAACTTCCTGTGATGACCCAATGTTATCGCAAAGGGAGCCTTGTAACCAGGCTCATCAAAGCAGGGGAATGCCAATCGAGCCGAAGCCGGTTCAAAATGAGTAATGGCGATCCATCTGCAACAATATCGTTGAATAGTAAGTCAAGGTAACGAGTCGTTTAATCCAATTATTACTTTGTCACATTAGCCACGGGATCTGTGTAAGAACTTCGGTAGTAGCCCTCCAATTGTTTATTTAACTCGGCAGAAAAAATCAATTTCAGCTCGTAGACATGACCTGCCAGAAGCTGTTGGCAAGTGTTCAGAATGTAAAAGTCGTGGTTGGGATTCACCTCCGTTGAGGTTACGCAGTTATCAATCGTTCCATTTCCGCTAATTTGGCGAAGAGTTGTCTGCGATTCGTCGATGGTCAAATCCTTCGAATGAAGGGTTATGTTATTTGTGTCCTGAAGGGCTTCAATTAGTATCTTCACACTGCCGCTAAAGCGAAATTCCTTGGGATTTTCCAAATGAGTAAGAATACGTAGGTTATACTTTTGTGGTCGAAGTGCCGTCGGCAGGCGATAATAATTATAGTTCAAATCAGCATTCGCTAAATATAGACTAAGAAGCACCACAAATAATAGCAACCACTTCATGTTCGATGCTGTTGGTAAACAAACAAGTTATAATACAAAATTAGAAGAATAAATACACCATTGTTTAAAAATTGATTGATTTTGAGTTACATTATTTGAATTATTGTTATAATTAATAGTTCTTATCCAGGGGCGGACGCAGAAAAAATTTTGGGGGGGTCCGATCGAAAAATTTTTGTTGTTTGGGGGGTCCGATCAAAAATTTGTTCCTTTGGGGGGGTCCGACCAAAAAAAATTTTAGTTTTTATGGTTGAAAAGCCGTGTGCTGTAAAATGTGAAAATTTGAAAAAGTCTGAGATTTTGGGGGGTCCGGACCCCCGGACACCCCCCTGCGTCCGCCCCTGTTCTTATCAAAAGCAAAAACCTGTGAACATTTAATACGAACTTAAATGACAAAAGATCACCGCACTTTTTTTTTTTTTAATAACAACTCACAACGCGTATTTTAATCTAATTTATGGTATGGTGAGCGATTTATTAATGATTTATATACTAAATACACGAAAAAAACTAGTAAGAACAACACGGAGTAATTATTTTTACCTCTGAACAGAATAAACTCTGTCGACCGAATGCGGCTATTTTTATGACCGAGACGAGTATATATATAATATATGTATGGATTTTTCAAGCTCATCTCATCATTGAAGAGAGAAAAAGAGAGAATGACTCAGATTATTCGAGTTTATATTTAAAATCTCTAAAACGATTAAGCGCCCATAAATTAATAAGACGCTGCTGTTCTCTTTTACTCTTTTTATTTTTGAATAAAAGAAATAAATATCTTTCTACACACTTATAATACTATAGTATTAAGAAGTTTATTAGGGAAATAACATTTATAACTACAATCTACAATCTAACTATCTGCAAATGTTGCTGGATGGAGCGGGAAAACTGGTCATAGTTTCGGTCCACCCACTGGACATTGGTGAGCATCGTTTCCAGGGTTTGTTTAACCCCCTGTTGAATGTCCTTTAGCAGATGTCTCGAATTGTTGACGAAGGCCCTGAAGCCATTCAGATCCCTTAAGGTAATAACCTGTTCCGAAAATGTTCCGAAAAGTTTGGAAATGCTCTTGACTTGCGGATGGTAACTGAAGCGAAAATTGTCCTGTTAATCTTATAACTTCTCTCAAACTGAGTAAACTTACTATCTATAGATGGAGTCTATATTATCCATTAGGTATTTTTTGGCTAGCAGATGGCCAACTTGTCCAAGAGCTACAGCATGGAAGGCTTGTACAGAATCCTGTTTACGAATCGCACCTTTCTCATCGAAGGCCCTTTCCAGATAACGCTGCAAGATCCAAACTTCCCTCGAACAACCCAGCGTACTTAAGATTGTCCGTTTCTCGGAGCCCACATTCGATTGCTCGTACCGATTCCACAGGAAGTCCCAATCCTCTTCAGTGCCGTACCTAATGGCAGCACAATAAACCGTGGAACGCAAGTTGATTGGAATGGGGTTTATCTCGTCGGGATTGGGCTCCCTTCTCCACCTGCGGAAGTAGGACTTCGCCCGGGTAACACAATCGGAAACATGGTACTGGCACGCCGAGTTGACCACCAGCGTTTTTAGCAGAACCTGATCCTGATCCTGGATTGAACTGAATGTGTCGTTCAGGCCATCGAAGTGTTTGTAAAGCGGGGTAAGCAGCTTATTCATATAGGTCTGGAAAAGTTGCATAATAAATAACATTAAAGGGTTAAAAACAATAGGGAAAAGTATATAAAACCCACTTTAAAGTATCCAAAGTTTGATGTCTGCCGAAGAATGCGATTTAACACTCTTATATTATCAAAGGCTGATCTCCAAGGAATTAACTCTCGTTCCCTCTGCAAATAATCGGTCAATTTCAGTGCGATTTCGTAGTCCTGCTCTCCTGTCCAGGCGAGGTACAGGATGTCATCTACAAGTTGGGCTCTATTTATCACGTGGATGCTCCGGAAGTCCTCGCTGTTCAAGGTCGCAATCAAAAGGTTCCAGTTTCGGGCATCGTAGTTGACCCTGCAAAACGACGAGAGTTGGGTGTTGAAGATCACCCACTGATCGGGTCCTGGAAGGTCCTGAATGGTCTTGGGTAGTCTCTCTCCATTTCTGCTGCACTCCATCCAATCCTTGGGAGCTGTGCTAATAAAGTCCAGCTCCGCCTGTGAGGTATAGCTCAAAGGCAACCACCAACAACCAGCGCGGTATTCCTTAGGTAGTTGACTGTTTCTTAAGTAGCGTTCCTGGCTGAGCTCCGCGGTTCTTGACTTGTAATCACGGCTTACATTAAGTAAGGGATACCTAAAAGAAAGAAATAATAAATAACCTCAGTTATCGTAACAAACTATACCAATAACTCACCCGGTTTGCAAAGTCCACGAATCCATGATGGTCTTGATTTCGTAATTCCTAGGCAGAGCGCCATGTTTGTGTGCAGCTTGAGTTAGGGCTTCCCAAAGATTATCCTGTTCCGCGTTCTTATAGGAAAACCTTTCCAAATACGATTTCAAGCCGGATCTGAATGACTCCTCTCCCAGGAACAAGTGCATCATGCGCAGCACCGAAGATCCCTTTTGGTAAGAGATCGAATCGAAACTCTCCTCCATCTCCGACACCTTGTGAATGGGCCTCGATATGGGGTGACTGCTCACCAGAGCATCCACACTAAAGGAGCCCCTCAGAACGGCCAAGGAGCTCTTGTCCTTCGAGTGCCATTCGGGATGGATGTCCTCGACACCCAAGGTGGCCACATAAGTGGCGAATCCCTCGTTGAGCCACAGATCGGTCCACCACTTCATGGTCACCAGATTGCCGAACCACTGGTGGGCCAACTCGTGGGCAATTACATTTGCGAGTTCCTGCTTGTCCACCAGAGAGGAGTGGCCGGCCAAGAAGAGCAAATTGGTCTCCCTGTAGGTCACCAGTCCCCAGTTCTCCATGGCACCCGCATTGAAGTCCGGAAGTGCAATTTGATCGAGCTTCGGCAGTGGGAACTTGGTGCCGAATAGCTGCTCGTAGAATTTCAGTACTTTGGGTCCAAACTCTGCCGCAAAATCGCACTGATCGATGGCATTCGGTCTGGCCCAAGTCCTGAAATGAGTGCCATTCGGCAGAGTGGAAGACTTGTGGGAGAAGCTGTTCACAGAGTAGGCCACTAGGTAGGTGGACATCGGCACTGATTCCTCGAACTCGCACCATACGTAGTGGGGATGGATTTCACTGCAAGGGTAGAAAAAATATTACATTAAATATAATAATTTTTTTTATTGTAATCTGAGTTTTTTAAGGGAACTTACTGTGGCTTTATTTCCTTTACCGGCATATTGCTAAGACCCGTGTAGTTCTTATGATAACCCAATGTGATCACAAAGGGTGCCTTATACCCGGGTTCATCGAAGCAGGGAAAGGCTTTTCGGGCTGCAGCAGGCTCAAATTGGGTAACTGATAACCAACTGAAACGTAATTAGGAATATTACTTAGATGTATGATAACATAAACATTGAATTCCCACCGTGTTAAATTAGCCACGGGATCCGTGTAAGAGGTGCGGTAATATCCATCCAGTTGTCTATTCAATTCAGCAGAAAAGGTTAGGCTCAGCTTGTAGATATTACCAGCCACCAGCTCATTGCAAGTGTGCAGGATAAGGAAGTCGTAGGAGGGATTAACCGAGGTCGAGGTTACGCAGTTGTCCTTCTTATCAACACCTCTGATATGGCGAAGCCTAATCTGAGGCTCGTGAATATAGAGATTCTTCGAGTGGAGCGTTATGTTCCTGGTGTTCTCCAGCGCCTCAATTATGATGTTCACATTGCCCGAAAAGCTTAGGTTCTTTGGATTTTCTAAAGTTGTTAGTATACGCAAATAATACTTCTGTGGTCGTAAAGCAGCCGGCAGCCGATAATAGTTATAGTTGGTAATATAATTGGCCGAGGCTGAAACCAGGCCAATTGCTAGTAAACAAAACAGAAAGCACTTCATAGCCGAATCATTCTGAAAGCAAAAGTAGGTAAAAGTTATAGTAACAAACAAAAGCGTAAAAATAAATTAGTCAAGCATGTTACGAGTATTTTCAATAAAATCTGTCGGGGACTTCTAAAACAAACTGAGACGTAACATCTTAATAACATTTGCTTTGTAAGCTTCTAGTTTTTATAGAGATCCATGAATCACAAAGATGTAGCTTTCATTAACAAACATTTTCATTCAATTGGCTTATCGATAAATCACTATCAGAAAGTGAAATCTGAACTCTTGAACTCCATCCCGATTATTGTATATTGTGTTGTTGATAGGAAATGTAAATAAACTAATCGTTTTTGTTTATAAATTTTTTTAATTCAATAGAAACTAACCAATTTTTTTTTTTTTTTTATCGAAATTGTTTTTGTATTACAGCTAATAGTTGTAATTGTTCACAACAGGCTGTAATTAAAAATTTCATCTATTGCCAAGTTTTGGATGAAAGTTCAGTTCCTTCGAGACACCAAACGTGTTTTCTTTAAGTGCACTGGTATCACTTTAAGGTACTTTTGAAACTTGTTTAGGATGTGCTAACTTACTATGTGACTTCTAGCACTTTGTTTGTTTAAGAACAATAAAAATAAAAATAAAACCAGCACTTAATGCGGTACAAGTTAACTCACCAGAGCGCGGTGACCAAATGCGAATAGTTCGACGATCGAACCGAGCTTACAAGTTCCGAAGAGCACTTTTTTCAGAGAGGCGTCAAAGCGAAATTAACTCGGAAAATTGAGAGCGCAATGAGTCGTTATCATTTTATAAACCAAGCGGGGCTTACCCGGCGTATACGCAACTATCAATAGATAAGTATTCAAACGTGAAGAAACAATATTTCACATATACTTTTATTTGAAGTATTTTTAAGTGCATACTTAGGCATTCATTTTTGTATTAAGTCAAGTACTTATTTATAACCACCTCAAAAAAAAACTCTTTCTCTTCGAGATACACGAATAATACTACAGTATTAAATAGTTTATTTAGGGGACTTTAAACGTTCATAATATCCTGCTGAAATTAAGAGATTCGTTTCTTAATGAGCTGATGAGAGACTTGACTGGTTACTGGGTAATCTAGAGGAGCTGTTGGATGGAGCGGGACATCTGGTGGTAGTTCCGCTCCTTCCATTGCACATTGGTGAGCATTATCTCCAGGGTTTGCTGGATGGCCTGCTCCAGGCCCTTGAGACTCGGCCGTGAGTTGTTGACGAAGTCCTTGAACTCGTTGAAATCGGTCAGCGTGATGACTTGTTCGGAAAGCGGCGACAGTAGACGAGACATGTCCTTGGTGAGGGGATGGTAGCTAAAAACAAGGGGAGAAACTAAGAAAGGAATCCACTAAATAATCTTTATAGAAACCCACAACTTGTAGATGAAGTCAACGTTGTCCATGAAATACTTCTTGGCCAGCAGGAAGCCCACTTCGTTGAAGGCCACCGCCTGGAAGGCCCACATCGAGTCCTGTTTGCGAATGGCCTCCTTGGGGTCAAAGGTCAGCTCCAGATAACGCTGCAACAGCCACACCTCCCTCGAACAACCCAAAGCAGTCAAAATGGTCCTCTTTTCGGCAGCCACATTGGATTTCTTGTACCGCGTCCACAGGAACTCCCAGTCAGCATCGGATCCATGCTTAATGGAGGTGCAGTAAACAGTGCTCCTCACATTGATGGGCACCGGGTTCTTCTCATCGGGATTGGCCTCCGATCTCCAGTTGCGGTAGTATGCTAAAGCCTGGGGCACACAATCGGAAACTTGGTACTGGCAGGCCCAGTTGACCACCATTGTCTTCAGAAGAACTTGATCCTGTTGCTGGATCGAACTGAATGTGTCGTTGATGCCGTTGAGGTGCTCGTAAATCGGGGAGATCAGTTTCTTCATGTAGCGCTGTGGACATTGGTATGAATGGAGAAATATTATTCGCTTAATATTTGGGGAAATTTAAATAATTTAAGGAGAAATATATGAAGAGTTCATATACCCAGCACTCTTCTATTGTAATAATTTAATATTGATTAGTGTTTGAAGTGCCGAGTATCTTAAAGTCGAATAACCGACCATGTCATTCTTACTTGTTTTTACGACACTCTCAGACTTACGACAAAGAACAACTTTTCGTTGGTTACCCATGGCAAGTGAGTGGATGGAGTTGGTTGTGAGCAATTTGGAAAGGTTCGTTTCGAAATACAAATGAGAATGAGGTTACGCCGAGGAGCGAGTTGTAGAAAAAAGTTAAGGAACTATAAGGTGCAAAGCCTACCTTGAAGAACTCAAAGTCGGGAGTTTGACGAACAATGCGACCCACGCGCTTGAGGTTTTCAAATGCCGATTTCCAGGGCAGATACTCCCGCTCCCGCTGCAGATACTCAATCAATCTCATGGCGATCTCGTAGTCCTGTTCCCCAGTCCAGGCCAAATACAAAGCATCATCGATCAGCTGAGCTCGGTTAATGACATGAATGCGTTCGAAGTCTCCGTTGGTCAAAGTCTCAATCAAGAGCTTCCAATTCTGGGCGTCATAGTTGACCTTGTAGAGCGTCGACAGCTGCGTGTTGAAGATCACCCACTGGTCGGGTCCTGGAAGGTCCTGAATGGTCTTGGGCAGGCTCTCGCCGTTCTTGCCGCACTCCATCCAAGCCTTCGGTGCGGTGTTGTTGAAGTCCTGAACTCCCTGGGTGGTGTAACTCAAAGGAACCCACCAGCAACCACCGCGATGAGCTCGGGATATTTGGGTATTCAGAAGATACCGCTCCTGGCTGAGTTTCGCAGTCCTGGCGGAGTAATCTCGGGTCACGTTGATAACAGGGTAGCTAAAAGATTATATATATTTAGTATTTATTTTAAATACAAACCACTTTGGATTACCCACCCAGTTTGCAGAGTCCACGAGTCCATAATGCTCTTGATGTCATAACTCTTCGGCAGAGCTCGGTATTTGTGGGCTGCCTGAGTAAGCGATTCCCACAGGTTATCCTGCTCGGCATTCTTGTAGGAATACTTCTGCAGATACGACTGCAAACCGGAGCGGAAGGACTCTTCGCCCAGGAACAAGTGCATCATTCGCAGCACAGTGGAACCCTTCTGGTAGGAGATCTGATCGAAGCTCTCCGAAATCTCGGAAACCATTTGAATGGGTCTGGAAATGGGATGGCTGCTCTCCAAGGCGTCCCTGCGGAAGATGGTCAGCAGATTGGAGAGCGACTCCTGCTCCATGGAACGCCACTCGGGGTTGATGTTCTCCACACCCAAGCTGGCCACATAGGTGGCGAATCCCTCGTTGAGCCACAGATCGGTCCACCACTTCATGGTGACCAGATTGCCGAACCACTGGTGAGCCAACTCATGGGCCACCACACTTGCCACCCTCTGTTTGTCGGCCAGCGAGGAATGAGCCGCCGAGTAGAGGAGAGCAATCTCCCTGTAGGTGACCAGACCCCAGTTCTCCATGGCACCAGCACTGAAATCGGGCACGGCGATCTGATCGATCTTCGGAAGCGGGAACTTGATGCCGAAGAACTGCTCGTAGTACTGCAGTACTTTGGGTCCGAAACCAGCGGCATAATCGCACTGATCGATTGCATTGGGCCTGGCCCAAGTCCTGAAAAGAGCACTATTCGGGAGGGTGGATGGCTTGTGGGAGAAATCGTTGACGGAGTAGGCGATCAGGTAGGTGGACATCGGCACCGACTCCTGGAATTCGCACCAAATGTAGTCGGCAAGGGTTTCACTGAAAGGAAAGGGTTACAATAAGTACGGAATATCCCAATGAGGGTTGGGTAATAAAACGGAGTTTATTTGCTTTTCTTACTGCGGCTTGGTTTCCTTAATGGGCATGTTGCTCAGACCAGTGAACTTCTTGTGATAACCCAAGGTAACCACGAATGGTGCCTTAAAGTCTGGCTCATCGAAGCAGGGGAAGGCCAATCGAGCAGAAGCTGGCTCAAACTGGGTAACGGAAATCCATCTAAGGTAAAATATAATTAAATTAGTTTTTTAAGGTATTAACTATTTAGTTCTCTAAACCCACTTGGTAACATTCGCCACAGGATCTTTGTACGAGCTGCGGTAATAACCCTCCAGTTGTCGGTTCAAGTCGGCGGAAAAGGGAATGTACAACTCGTACTTATTTCCGGCCAGCAGCTCCTGACAGGTGTTAAGGATATAGAAGTCGTGGGTGGGATTCACAGCCGTGGAGGACACGCAGTTATCCTTCTTCCCCTCTCCACCGATTTGTTGCAAAGTAATCTGCGATTCATCGATGGTCAGATTCTTCGAGTGCAGCGTTATGTTCCTAGTGTTCTCCAGAGCTTCAATCAGAATCTTAACAGAGCCGGAAAAGCGAAGGTCCTCTGGATTTTCCAGCAGTGTCAAGACGCGCAAGTTGTACTTTTGAGGGCGCAACGCAGTCGGCAAGCGATAGTAATTATAACTGGAGTCGATTTCGGCCGTGGCTAAGCCCAAACCAAGGGCCACCACGAACAACAAAAGCCACTTCATTCTGATTCTGTGAAAATGGGGAAAAATTGTTTATGACCAACGCGTTCAAGCAGAGCAAGCCGAAGCAATTAACTTAATCACTTTGGCACATTATTAACCGGGGATATCGCTTTACCAAAATCAGATGATTGCATTTTTCAATTATTGTTTTCTGAACTTAAATATAATTTATTCAAATTGTCCGTTTGTAGCTATACTTTCTCTTAATCAGTAATTATTTCAAATATAATTAAAAACTAAACAAAAAAACAATTAGAAAACAACAATCAGCGAGTGGGACGGCCGACTGTTGTCTACTGAATAAATCAAACCGATCTTTTTGCTGTTTATGCGGTTTCGCTGATTTACTTCAAATTAATGCAAATTGTTTATTTATTATGTTTTCTTTGCCAGTGTTTATTTCGGCTCGTTATGCCATGCACGTATTAAGGTCTGGGCCAATGGAACCCGATTGAGACTCTCCTCACAATTGGCATTATGTGCCGGCTACCTGCTGTAGTGGAAAATACCCTTGTCAGAAATACTTTGAGATAACGAGATATTCAAAGTTAATCAGCTGATGTGAACATTAAGTTAATTGTTTCTTAAATTACTAGTTAAACATAGTTCATTGTCACAGCAAAAAGTTTTTAAAACCTGTCAATCAAATTCCCACGCCTTCAGTTTAAGCCATTCATTTCAAACTTCAAGTATTGTACTTTTTGTTTGACTAAAATAAATTATTGCAGTTCTGTGTGATTTACATTTTTTGCAATTAACCAGAAAAACTGACACCCATCGTGCGCTGTGTAATTTACTTGCACAGAAACCATTAATTTTCCCAGCTAGATCGAGCCCTGCTAGAACATCCCAGGAAAATAAAGAAAAAGACGACTTGCATACATTTCTTTCATACTGGATAAACCAGATTGCAACGCCCTTCTAGTTTATTTTCTGCGCTTCTCTTTGTTTTATTCTTAATTATGCAAAAGTTGTTCTTTCGGTTCGGCTTTCTGAGCTCTTTTGGTTGCATATGAATAAATGTAAATGCGGGCACGGCCAATGAACTTCAAAGATTAGCATATAGGTATGATAACCGAATATTGATTGGGACTGACACAGATAGAAATAAATGATGGTTAAATGTACATCCTTGGATATAACTTGTGGTATTTCAACTTAGAAAACTTTATTCTTTGATTAAATACTAAGGAAGAAAGTTGCTTATAAAAATGTGCAAATGAATTTCCTTATTGAAAAGTAATAAAAGCGTCAAGTTGAAATTGAATTTAACGCAGTCAATAACTTTGTTATGATTTTCCGTAAATGTCAAACACGTGCTGCTCTGACATTGACTTATCAATTGATCCCTTTTAGCATATACAACAGCGGTCAAAATTCTAGCACCAAGATACTGCCCTTTGAGGAAATTTAAAGGGGAAGTTACACTTATATTATACCAAAATTTCTTTTAAGCTGAATAAATAACTTATTATTTCCATTAGTAAATTATATTAAGAAGGTGAAAGAACTTTAAAATGCATTTAAATCAGATCGGAATAATTAAAGTCAGAAATCAAGTCGTGTTTTTCAATGAACTACACAGGTTTAAAGTCTGTTCAATGAGTTATTATAAAATTCCATTACTCCTGAATGTTTCTGGTGTTTCACGATTCTTACTGCGGCTTAATAAAATGTACGTTTACGTAATTCTAATTGGTTGACACCAAATTTTTTGCAAACAGATAATTTATGATACACAGTTCAGCACTTCAAACTTGTTTTCTCTTAACTTTGGTAATTTTTTTTTGTTTTTGGTGCTGTGTTCTTAACACATTTGTATCACGTTGTTCTTTTTTGGGGTATGTGCGTTGTTACTGTCTCATGATTTCGGGGTTATTTGACTTTTTTGTGATTATTTTCAAGCTGCACTCCGGAGGTGCTTGACACACAAAGATTCTAAAAAAACCAACCGTTTAGAGCGCCAGAAGAGCAGTGGAGAACACAGAACGCAGGAGGACGAGGACGAGGACCGAGTGCGACCTGTTCGACGGTCGACGCGAATCTAAAGTTTACTGAGCACGGCGCTTTTATCTTATAGCCCGTGGTTACACCGCTCACACACACAAACGGAGGAAAAAAAAACCGGAGAGCAATGAAACGTCGACGGCTTAGCGATTGAATCGCTGCTTTGGCGTCGGCGCAGAGAAGCCGAGATTCTTTATTTTTTATCATAGAGCATATGTAGTAGAAAAGGGAGGTAAAAAAAAAAATAGCACATGTGTGACCCACACGAAAAACACAGCGGGTGATTGCAATGAAATAATGGCAGGGCTTACCCGGCGTATGCGCAATTTTGATTCACATTGCACACACTCACACATCGCGCGACTAGATGTCACTACGTGTTTTTGACCTTAATTGCGCTGATTAACCCATTTCTTTCTATTTCGTATGCCAGCAGCACTTCAGCCACTCGACCCTAGAGTTCACCCACCCACTCGACCACCCACCGCCCCTTGTTTTGGGCGCGCCCCCCGTGGAGGGAGCTCGCCAGATAAGAGGACATGACAAGTGGCGAAAACAAACCATAACAAACCAAGTGCAGACCGACAAACACGTCGTGAAGGTCCACAGAAGGGGGCCTTTAACCCTCTGAGCCATGAATGATTGCGAAAACATTTCTTAAATGATGCTATGAAAAGAGTTTAATATTTAAAGTTTTTTCATTCGGTTTTTATTGTTGTTTAGATTAAATGTAAACTTCTTTGTTAATTTAGTCACATTATACTTATGCTTTTAATTAAGACTTATGCGGATTTTAGAGGGTTAAGCTTACAGGAAAAAATGGATGCAGCTTGAAAACATGTTGGTCGAAAGGGTTATGACTTTGGCTAATTGCCACTAACCGCTCTTGGCATTGGTCCACATTTTAGAATTAATGTTTGTGTGGTCTTAAGGAGATGGAGTGAAAGCTGAATTGTTGTGTGGGCGGGTATCGAATAGCAACGATAGAAAATAATCAGCTTATGCTAAAGAGATTTATTGATAGAAAAGAAACGGAAAAATATCAACTAAGCTGATTTCAAATAAGCTTCATTGGTTGGAAACAAAGAAAATAAAAAAACGAAATTAAACTATTAAAGAAAAATTACTTACAAAGGCGAAAGTAAGGTTGTTTCGAATTTAATGAAAGAAAAATACCGATTTATTCCGATTTTTAAATTTGGTGTATATAACATTAACATTAACATTGAGTCAATTTCATTTCGTGTCTAAAATTCGTCACGCGTTCATCTCCAACCAAAAGTAACAGATATGTTGTACGCATGTATAACAGAAACGCACGAATTCACTTCTGTTATACTCCATTTTATACAACAAACAGCGCCCTCTGGTTTTCACAAATTTTGAAACGCTCTCTTTGCGCGCCAAATTCAAAGTGAAATTCCATGAAAATCAAGTTGAATTCCCAAAGCCCCGCCCATCTTGCGCTTTTGGCGCCATTCAATGATAAAAATGCCAATGATTTCAGTTCTGTTTTAGTCGTGTATTAAGTATAATTAAAATTGATGGTCTTTGTTCAATAATATTGCCTTTTTTGATGCAAAAATAAGCTTTGCTTAAATAATAATCATTACATGGTAAAATATTTGTTTTTCTTGTATGCGTTTCAGGGGCTTGTTCGGTTACGGATTACATAAAAATAAACAAATAATAAGCGTAAATTGTACCTAGCAGAAGTTTTCAACTTTCAACTCTTAAATGATAGTTCTTAAACATTTAAATGGATGTGGATGTGAATAATGAGAGTGTGTGTTTTTGTGAGATATTTTTTGTGTTTTTTAGTTTTTAGCCATTTTGTTCTGCTTATCATCTAGAAATGATTAAGGGGTCTGTGTTCGGGATCGGCCTCTCTTAAATTTTAACGACAGTGTTCCTCACGTTTTTAGATTATAATGCACATTTTTCGTTTGTTTGTTCGATGGTTATCTTTAAAATTTGAACTAGAGTGCTTAAATAATTGAACTAAAGCCGAATCCATAAAAAACAATAATAACTAAACAAAAGCGTTAAATTCCAAATGAAATTGTCTGTTTTGCATGAGTGAGAGTGTTGTTTTGGGTGCGACTGCGAGTGCGAGAAACTAAGTCTACGGATTAACAAATGAAAATCAACAAAAATCAACTTAAAATCAGCGTGAAATAAATACCCCTATACGTCTATATATACAATACGATAACACCCAAATTTAGATAACGAACTCCTTAGCGCCTACAGCATCAGTCGGGAGCGCGACTTCTTGAGCCGCCCGGTGGCACCGCCCAGGCCATCGCCGTTCCAGGACTTCGACTTGGCCCGGAAGTGGCGGTAGGCCTCGTTGTAGGCGGGGTCCAACATGGTGCGGTAGGCATGGGGCTCGCAGAGCTCCACATGCGACTCGAAGAACTCCTTGTAACCGTTGTGCAGCAGATAGATTTCGGGATAGTGCAGCGCCGGATACGCATTGGTGTTCCTCTCCCGGTCCAAGTTCCTCAGGAAGCGGGACATTTTCGGACCGCGCTCCGAGGAGAACTCGCAGTGGAAGATGATGATGTTGCGCTTCGGTCCCGACTCGGCGTTCTGCTGCTGCTGCAGCTCAGTCTGTTGGACGGTGAGGAACTCCTCGAGGATCTGCTCGGTGGTGTACAGATTCTTGGCGCCCTCGATGTGGCCGCCCTCGAATTCGTAGGGATAGCGGCAGTCGATGATCCGGTAGCTGGCCACCTGGTCCTTGAACTCCCCCTTCAGCAGGCGGGCCACGGTTTCGCTGGAGATGCTCTTCAGATCCCGATGACGACCCTCCATCAGGGGCAGGGCGTAGGCTTTGCTGAAGTCGCCGATCAGCTCGGGCTCGTTGCGGTTCTCGGAGCGGGCCAGGGCGGACATGATCTCGGCGTCATTGAGGGACATGCACTTCCTCAACGGCGGGGGATGGCTGGTCACGATTTGGCTGGGTGCGGGGCAGTTCTCCTTCTCGACGGCGGCGCAGCGGTGACGCTTGCTCTGGATGGGCGAGCAGCTGGCCGATGCTGGCGGTTCCGGGCGCTTGAAGCAATCCCGGGCAGTCTCTGGGGTCTTTGGTGGTGGTGGGGTGGCAGTGTTGCTCTCCGTCATGCTGAGGCATCGCCTCACCGAAGGACGGCGCATGGACAAGCCCGCTGGCGATTTGGCCGCTGGCTGCTCCTTGATCTGTCCGCTGATCAGCGAGTTCAGGCCACTGGGGAAACCAAGGGCACTCTGCTGGCTCTGCGACTCCATCTCAAAGAGATCCATGTACTCATCGTCCATGGAGGACTCCATGGAGCAGGTGGAGGACAGGCTGTTGAAGATGCGGAAGCTGCGAGCCGGTGTGTGGGTCAAGACATCGTTGGCTCCTCCAACTGCTGGCAGGACCTTCGGCTGGCGGACAATCTGGAAGCGCTGGGGCGAGCCCTCTGGCGAGAGCAGACCCATCAGTTCCGGACTGGCAGATCGCTGCTGATCCTGGGGCGCAGAGTCGTCGTCGTAGAACGACAGCTCCTCCTGGTCCATGCTCATCAGTTCCAAGGAACGGCGGGCACGGCGAGATCCACTCATTTTGTTGATATTACTGGAACCGCTGGTGTTATTACTGCAAGAGAGCAACAAAGAGAGGGGGAGGATTAGTCAACTGTTCGGAATCGAGAAAGAGAGCTGCTTTTGCTTCCCTAAACTCTCGAAGAGCGGGTCATTAAACCCAGCTAAAAATACTGACAAAGTGGTGGTGGCGTTGGTGGTGTAAAAACAACAAAGTTATCCCAAAAAAAAAAAACACAGAGGGGTTGTTGTAAATGGGTGAAGAGTGAGGGAGCTAGAAACTAGAAATTTACCAGAAATGATGAAATTCAATTTGGGAGCTATATTTTGAAAAAAATTTCAATTTTAGAAATTCCCTCTTAAAATAACTACAATAGTAATGGAACTAAGAATTAAAAATTTACTTGAAATAAAGATCAGGAAACCCTGCTAGTTCTTCTTCTAGAGTCTTGTTCACATTTGCGGTACTCTAAACGGAATTCCCTTTTCGTTGCATCTGCCTTTCAGTTTGACTTTTGGGTCACACGTCACGCAAGCGCAACGTTAATAAAAAACAGCACAAAGAACCGCAAAGAACACGGGGGAAAAAAGGAAAAAGTACGAAAAAATGACTGACTGACGGACAAAACATTTTTTGTGGGGCTTTTTGTTGTTTTTTGGAGCCTCGCGGAAGCCGGTTTAATGAATGAAAAACGGCAAGCGAACAACAACAACAGCTGAGCGCCAAAAAAAAATCGGGCAAAAAGTAAACGTGCCGAGCGTGATAAAAAATAAGAGTGTATAAAACTCTTACTTTTGTTGGCCCCGTCTTACTTTTTTTGCTGTTGTTCTTGAACTTGCACTTTTCATGGAGTCGAGTATTTTTAACTGGTATTCCTGGTGCAAAATAGTTTTGCTAATCCCTGGGCGGTATAATTACCTGATATTGCAATCCATGCTGCAGTTGTTTTCTTCGACAATAGTTTCCCACAGCATTTTGTTGGTTTTTGTGTAGTGTGTTTCGGGTTTCGAAAAACTGAAGAATTTTGATTTCGCTTGCGAGTTTTTAATTGTAGCCGAAAAATTGCTAAAACACAATTTTTTCTTAGTCTTCACTCTTCACTCATTTACAGTTGGTTTGTTTGAAATTTGGATGGTAGTCCTTGGTTTTCGCTAGTATTGCATTTTAGTTGGTTTAGTTTTTCTTTAATGTGTCCGTTTCAGCATGTTTTCATTTTTGAGGTTGGTGTGTGGTTGTGCGAGGGTTATACTTTGTTAATATTTTGAAACCGCACAGTTCAAGTCACCGAACGAGGAACCGAAAGGTAGAACAAGAAGAGCTGTTAACTCGACGACGAACGGAGAACGAATGTGCTGGCTCTCTTGCAGCGGCTGGTTTTTATAGATGCACCCCGGCCGAGGATCGTCGGAGAGCGGGCGCACAGCTGATACGGGAGCGAGCGAGCGCGAGAGAAGTTAGTTAGTGTTTTGTTGTTGCAGGGCGCCTTTTTCTTAGTTCCTTATTTTTTTGGTTCTTAGATTCCCAAGAAATGGAAGTGGAAACGAGATGGGGCGAGGACCAACACATAACGGAGCGCAAGATCCATGTGCAAAAGGAAATATGTGAAAAGGGAAAATAGGAAAATCGGGATAATATGGTTTTTGAAATCTCTGCCCTGTGGAGCGTTCTCCGCAACAGGTAGAATCCCCAGACCAGAATCCTTTCCCCTACATTTCCCCTACATACTCCTCGAACCGAAGAAATCCCGACGACCCGAGAGGAAGAAACAGGCGCCTTGGAGGTCGCCAGCTCTATGGAGGCCTCTGATTTTGGCGCGCGAGCTTTTATACCCAGACGCGAAGCTCCCCTCGGTTGCCGAAGTGAATCCGAAGAGCCAAGAATTGGAGCCGAAGCCACGAACATATGTGAAAATAGTGGAGCCCTCGAGGGCAGAAGAGCGGCGGCAGAGCAGAAGAATCTCAGCGAATCTTTAAGCAGAATTTCAAGGCGGCATCGATTGTGTCGTTTGCAGGTAATAATGTGAGATCCACGCATTCCTGGTGTCTCCCCCCCACAACACCGTAACCCCCTTGGTATGCTCCACCTCCTTGAAAAATATCAGCAGGTAGTGGACGCAGTCATATGATCGCCGCACCGGCGGGATGGTGCAGCTGTGGAGGGGGCGTGGCTCCTTTGTGTTCTGCAGACGTAGACGCCAATGTCGTTAAATGAGCAAAGCTTCCAGCCGCAGATCCATTTACAGGAGAAACTGTATAAGACGAATTCATTGCGGCAATTGGAAGGCAGAAAATATTGCTTATAACTTTTCGTTATGCTAATCGGAACATCAAGTTCACTTAAAATAAATATTCGATTTTAGGCAGATCAATAAGGATGGGATGATTGACTTAGGGTTAAGGATGCTCCCCTGTAGCTTTGTGCTTGTGTGCAATCGCGGCAAAGTTAAAGCAGAAATCGAGTTACATATGCGCCGAGGCCCTGCGGGAGTCACTTTGGTGGATCCAAGGGGTTTTTCGAGGGGATCGAACACCCATGGGCTGCAGTCAGAGTGTGTTTTTGTAAAATCTCCAGCGAACAAATAAAGGACAGCCAAGGAAAGCCAGCTGATATCATTCACATTACTTCAAACTATGCCAAAAGGAAATGATTTTATGATGAACCATAGCCGAAACAGCCAAATGAGCTACGGTTTCATTCCGCTGAATTCCTTTGGCGAGCTTTTGTTGTTGCTGCAGGAAGAGCCGAGAGGATCATCTTTATGGAAAACAACCAACAAACAGGGCAGCAAAAAAAAAAAAAAAAAACACAAAAAAGGACGCAGAAATCATAAAGTGGTTTTGAACAAGTTAAAAAAGCGCATAGGGGAAAAAGGAAAGAAAAAGCTCAGACCCAAACTCATTCATAGTGGATCAGTGAGAACCGTGGTTGTAAATTGGTTATTCCGCTTTAAAAAAGTAACTCTCTGTAGGTTGAAAACTATAAACATACAAACCTTTTGACAGCTCTTTTATACAGCTAATTTAAGCTATGCTAAGTTGAGTTTGAATTTCTTCTCTTATCCAGCTTTGTTTTCCCAGTTTAATAATAGTTTTGGAAATATTTCAGATACCACCGTGCTTATCGCTAGCCTCCAGAATCGGAGAGCAAAAAAAAGGCAAAACGGAAAAATCAAAAACGTATGCAAAAAGCACACACACACACTCGTTTGGTTAACACAAACGTGTGTGTGGGTAAATTTGATAAAGAATGAGAATAGGCTTCAGAGAAAGAAATTGCAGCAACAACGTGAATGGGAATGGAGCACAACAATAGCGGGGGGACCAGAAAAAAAAAAAAAACAACACAGGACCAACAAAAAGTGAAGAGCTAAATTGTAAATCGAAATTCCAAGAAGTGAGCTTTGAGCATCGGTTTTTTTTTTCGGTACGTCTGTGCATTAAAAAGCCTGTGAAGTGTGCGAAAAAAGCGTTTGAGATACTTTTGCGCGCGCGCGCGCATTTCGCAAATCACTGCCAAAAGGGTTTAGGGGTGGTGAGGTGGGCAGGAATGGGTTAAAGGCTGGGCGGTCCCCGATTTTCAATGTGTGTGTGCGACAGACAATGCAATGCAATTAGAAGAAGGCGCAAAGAGCAGTCGAGGATTGGATGTCTAGGTGAGCAATATGTATGTACATAATTAGCTTTTTTGTATCCGTTAAGTATCATCTATAAAATATTTTATTTTATTTAAGCTGACAGACAAGCTTTTTCAGAAACAGTGTATCTTTCAATCAAAAACCAATCAAGCTTTCAACCATGATGCAATAATATGCTCCAAATACCTTTGAAATACATAATCCCCTCCTCTCCTTCCTCGTCCTTAGAAAATCTCAGGGGTAAAGGTGCGGACAGGGGAAATCTCTAAGTACATAAGGTGGGAAAGTAGGAGACAAGAAGAACAGCACACAGATACTGATTAGAACAAATACGCATGGACACAGGACCAAGAAACAGTTAGACAGGGATAGCGGTCCCCTCTCTCATATGTTCGATCAGCTGATCGAAGCACCGAAGGATATAAGCAGCAAGGAAACCAAATTAGTCCTGCTGTGTGTGCGTGTGTGCCAGGAGGGGAAAGGGAAGGGGCAAGGATAAAAAGGATCGGTCACAACGTGCGCGCGCAAATTCCTTAACACGAGCTGAGAAAAGAGAGAGAGGGAGAATAAGAGAATCGAGGGGGTGGGGGCAGGAGGAAGGACGAAGGAGGCGCGGCGCTGAGATTTCTCGGGAGAAAGAGAAGCGGAGAAGTGCAGCGCTGGCGAGGAAGTAGGTGAAGAGCAGGGAATAGCCTTACTTATTTTTTTTTGCGCCAAAACCTTTTCGTACTGGTGTGTGTGTGTGCGCAGGACTCGTTTCGGTGGGAAAGAGAGGGGGCGAAAGAGGAGTTCGATCGGCATTCTGTTTATCTTTCGCTGCCTTCTCCTTTGCCGTGATTTCTTGCAGTCTTTGTCGCTTCATGTTGTCTTTTTGCCTTTTTGTTATATGTATTTTTTTAGTCGCGTTCTGTTCGTTTTTCTCGTCTACAAACTGATTGTGAGAAATATTGTATCTTCGAGATACATTTCGTTACTTGACTTTCCGCCGTTGCGTGCCGTTCTTCTTTCATTTTTCACATCGTCTTTATGGTCTTGCCCCACTAATTGATTCTCTGCATAAATTTTATTTAAAGCTTTAATAAATGTCAAAATAAGCAATTCATTTCGATGTTAGAGAACGCACACCCATATACTATATACGCGCTCCATTGTCCACTGAAATGAAGCTCTCTCCCGGACAATCAATTGCCGGGTTCAGAGTTTAAATGTGAAAGAAAGCTGAGAAAGAGGAAATCAATTGTCCATTAGTGCTGAATGGCCCGGGATCTCCATGGGTGGGTGTTGTGTCATCATGTGATTTGTGGGAAAGGAAGTTACCGTAATGAACAGGAGGACGGTCGCCCTGATTCATAAGTTTAAGCTTTGAGTTTATATAATGAAAGTGGAATGATTTTGGGTGCGTTGACATACGCTTTGTAGAAATGAAAAGGAATACAGAGTTCATACATTATTCTAACATTGTACTTAACCGATAAATGTCAGTCCTAATATGCTTTTCAGATAGGCTGAGTTCAAGTTCTGTTTGTTGTAGTTGTTCGTTGCCGGAGCTCTATGCAAATATTTATTTTCATAGCATTGTTCCATGATATGGAAGTACTGGCGCTCATATCTGAACTATACAGCAGCCCCAGGAAGTACTAATCAGCGTTATTCCTCAGTGCGTTCTCTCTGTTCCGCCACGCTCTCCACATACATGTTTCCTACGACTGGGCGGTACAACAAAAGTTAGTATTGTGTGGCAAGATCGGTGAGTGGGGAATGCGGGGAGTTCCGTATGTAGATCAACATAAAGTCACTGTTCGCCCTCTCTAATAAGCGAACAATGTTCTTGACATGCTTAGATATCGCATATGTATTTTAATGCCCTTTGGAGGAGGTACTCCCTCTTTGATAAGGTACTTGAAATCATAAGCACATTTTATATTCTATTTCTATAAATTTAATAACCGAATTGTTTGCAAAACTTTTTTAAAGTTTTTCGAGCTAAAACCCTACAAGAAACGATAGAGATTTAACTATATCTATGATATTTTACGAGCAGCAAGGGTATCCCAACTTCGAACTCTAATCCTACCCAAATTTTTATGTTTATTTAAATATTTTTATGAGTTGCGCGCACTTCAATTCGATTTTGATATGCCTGTCGCACATATCGGGGTTTTCAGGCCAGTTCAGGGTGATGCAAAAGTAGAGATTAGATTGGAATCCGAATAGGGCTCATCTGCCTGCCACATTGCTGCCATGCAAAAAGAAAAAAAGGAAAAGCGATGCGATGAGACCCCATCAAAGAGCACACGCTGAGTGCCACTTGAGTTTCCCAGGCTCTGTTCAATAACTCCAACGTGATCTGTTTTCGATTGGCAAGGTTTCCCACAGAACCCCCTCCCGACTTCCATAGCTCCGAACTGTATTGGCAAACACAATTAGTTTGTGTTTTACTGGCAATTTTCTATATAATTTGAATAGTAGCAGCGGCCAGTCCTTTGTCCCAGTCAAGTGGATGGTCATTTATTCAGGGCTCGGCACATGGCCGTTCCTTTCTTGCGCAGTCCGCACTGTTTTGTGTTCGCCAAATAGCAATTTGGGTCACAATGTGTGCAACAACACAACTAAAACAAGTGCCGTACAATGCAACAGTTCTGATCCTGTTGTCCTTCCGAAACTGTCCGGCGGACAGTGCAAAAATACTGTTGTTCTTGTCACATGCAATCCGACCGATTTGGTTCCCACACAGCAGGCAGTTGGGATATTTCCTTTTCTCGGTTTTTTACGAGCCTCGAATGACTTCTCAAGTGGTTCGACTTTTTTGGCGCGCAAATCTTCGGTTGTGTGGCCCAGATATAGGGGTTCTTAAAATAGCATCCACAGTAACCTTGTCGTCAAGCGGCAAGATAAGAGTTTTGCTCAAAAGATGATTGCCTTGGGGCAACAGTGATGCAATCTTTATGTTTTTCTCTGATAAAGTCAGGTCCCATTTGCAGAATTTATGGTAATTACTGCCTGGATTACTGAGGTCATACCCTTCTATACCGTGACATTTTCACTGATTAATTTCTTAACGATCAGTAGTAAACCCTTTCATCTTTCTTGATTCCTTGATCACGAAATCCCTTGATAGAACAACAAACCCCTGACTTTGATCTATTGC